GGCGCTGACAACGCCAAGACTGCAGGTTCGATTCCCATTTGGTCCCCATGTGTTGCCCGATCTAGTCCAGAGGTGGCGCCCTTGCCCATAACAGGGATGTTGGATTAAATGATCTCTAAGGTCCCTTCCAGCCCAGGCCTTTCTATGATTCGAAGTGGGTCTGTCGTCAAGGCTGATGTATCCAAACAAGCAGCCTCCTACAAACGCAGTAATCAGTCAAGCCAGTTGCTCAAATAAGTTCATGGAAAAGGAAGGCTGCCACAGAAGATTATAAAGCTATTTGGAAATGGATTTTCAAATGGAGGCAAACAGCTCATAGCATAGGGACTTTTGACCTAGCTGGACAGCTGTATGCTTGGAAAAAAAAAAAAAAAAATAAAACCAAATTCACATAGAGTAGAAATACCAGCTATTCAACAGAGGAAACCTAGAAGTCAAGCCAGGTTACAGATTGCACATTGAAATTAAATAAATTCAGAATCACTACATTAAGAAAGAGGGGGGAAAAAAAAGGCAGTTTTCCTGGAAAACTTCAAAGAGGTTAAAGATAATTCAGAATTTTATGAAACTAAAGGGCTAAAGGAAACAAATATAGAGAAACATGTATTTCTACTTCTAGTTACAGCCATAAACAAAACAAAGTCTTTATTGTACTGAAATTGACAGAACCAGACGAAAGAGAAATGGCAAAATTGCTGGTTTAGTTATTTTTCAGAAGCATATAAAATTTAGATGGCAATATTTGAATGAAAAGTAGAAAAATAATCTGTTCTCAAGAATGAGTGACATAATGCTCCAGGAAAAAATGGCTATCTTGTTCTGATGTTTAATGAGCAAGATATACAATAAATCTTAAAGTGAAGAGCAGTTAAAGACAAAAAGTAGAATTCAATGCATTATCAAATTATCATTCCAGACTAGTACAATATGTTTACGTGGGAAAGTAAGTGCTTTTCCCTGAAAAAGACATATGCTGTCTCTGAACTAGTAAGCTCCAAGAACCAATAAATGTTCTTGTCCTAGAAAGTATTCAACAGTATTAATGCGATATCTGGTGGGTAAAAATAGTTGTTGCAGGGTCCATGTTAAAAAGAATGAAAACAGTGGATCACAGAGAAGTTAATAGTGTTATTTCTGCGGGACTGATCTTAGGTCCATTGTGATAAGTTTCTCAGGCCTGAAAAAGGAAAATTTCTGAAATTTGACTATAATTAATTTAGTACTAGAAGGCATTGCAGGAGGAAAGATCAGAATGCAACATGGTAAGAAAACAACTACCTAATTTAAAGTAGATTGAATATAATAATAACAGGTGCAAAACATTATTTATCAATTGAAATCATGAGATGCTGTTATGAAATGGAGCCTACCTGATCCTTGATCAAGATAGAAATGTATGCACCTTATCAAAAATGTGAATGCAAAATTAAGAAAGTCATTTTAGTAGGTATAGACATGAAAGAGCAGAATTATAAGTTATCAGCCATAATTCCTCTCAAAGCCTGTACACATTTCTTACTCCCAATGTTCAAGATTAGCCTTAACACAGTGCGTGAAGGTGACACTAGGTTTTCAGATAACTGAGAGCCTGTTAGAAAAGAAAAAAAAAACTAAACCAAACAAAGTAAATACTAAAATAAATCTATTTAACTTATCAAAACAGAGGACTATGGCCTTCTGCAAACACATGGGCAAGTCAGAGAATTTATAAAAGCTGCAGAACATTTTTGATACAAGAGCAAACATGCTAGCCATGAGTCAATGTAAGTCAGAATTTTACACATTTATAACATCAACAGGCTTTTTCGTAATTATACTTTTAACAGAACTCATTCAAGGTAGTGGAAGCATTGCAGAATGAGGCCACATTTCACAGCTTAGAGCATTCAGCAGCTCAGCAAGTCCCCTCCAGCCTATCTGTTCATGAGTGACAAACACACCAAAAATCAGCTAAGGAAATAAACATCAATAATTTCAAACAGCAAACAAATAAGCAAAAATCATGATCAAAATCAGCAGTGGTTTCCCTCAGGGAGTTGTCCATTCACTCAGCAGAATGTCGTTTTGTATTTCAATTACTACTGACTGGCAGATACAGTGTTTTTACATCATCTTTTTTTATACGATATGTGGCATATCAATTCAACTTCACATTTTACATATATATTAAAGCTATTTTTTGCTTTTCATTTTGTCTTTCAGACAAAAATACACATGTATAATTGAAAATTACTATATTATCTCTTTCATAATAGTAGTAATTATTTTTAAATTAACTTCAAAATATCTTTTTCAGCTAGAAATCAATAATTGATACAATTACTCTATGCTGAAGGTCTACATATTTTTACTGTAAGAAACTTTACATACTTTATTTGATAATGTTCCTTGGTCAGTGAACTATCTGGCTGTTGGTTATCATGAAAATTAAAATCCAGAAGAATAGATTCCTTTTTAATAGGAGAAAATATTTAAGGAGGAAAGCGTATAAACAATATTTGCTTTTTAGTAGCACAAAATGCACCAACAATGAATAGAAAAGCAGCAAAAAAAAAAAAAATTCAGTAAGGAAAAGTATTTTCAGACAGTAGAAAAAAAATCCAGTTCAGCCTGAAAGGATACTTAAAAATAAAAATTAAAAAAAAAGTTACAGAGACAGAAGAGCTCTTCAAAACATCAATATCTGATTTATTAACAATAGAAATACATAGAATTTTTTAATCCTTCACAATTTACTAGGTGACAGTAAATTCCTAAGGAAAAAAGGAATTAACAAAGACTAAGAAAATAAAGGTCGTGTCAGAAAAAGTGACAAAAAAAATGGTAAGATGAAAAAGGAACAAAAAAAAATCCATTTTTAAATCTATGCTGTATCCCACGATACTAAGGGTTCCAGGGAGCACACGGTAGAGCTGTGCCCAGCGGGCCCTCTGCTGTTCAACTTGCTCCTTTGGAAACTTTTTTTAAATGGGGCCTCCTGAGAAGTTCACCTATCAAATAAAAAGTTTTGGGATTTCACCCCCCCAAAAAAGAATACTTCATTTGTTTGAAGGAAAGACTGACGCAAACAGAACTAGTTTAATGAAAGCAGAAAAGGTGTAAGCGGCTCATGAAAGCCACCTTGTGCTGTTCTGTGCATGTTAGTTTTGGGTTTGAGTCTCTTTTCTTTAGGGGTAAATCTTTCACTACAAAAAAAAAAATATCCTCACTCACATCTCATGCCCCTTTTATAAAAAAATGTCAGGTAGAACTATCACACAAAAAAACCTTAATTGATGCAAACAGAAACCCACGGCAGATATGAGGACTGCACATGCTATCTTGAAATCTTTTCATCTAAAAAAAGCTGAGCTATTTCTTACAAACAAAGTAATAGTCTGCTCATGAAAAAAAAAAAAAATTGCACTAGCAGAAAAAGAATGGCTATCTCCAAATCACAGACAATACACACTATTATTAATCAGTCACCTAACACTGTATTAACTTGGGCTATGATCTCATAAGTTAACAAAAAAAAAAAAAAAGAGAGATGATAAGATGACAATCTATAGATAGCCTCAAAACTAACCAGAGTTCTTGAACGAGACTAAATGAATCTTGCTAGGGTCTATGGGCTCGCTTGAAGTTCCCATCTTGCTAGGACATGTTTTTTTTAGTCTTCCTCCTCACTAAGCACACATTCCTAACATGGCAACTTATGATGGGAATTAAGTTTGCATATTGATACTGATGAGAAGCTTGCATACCTGTTGCAATGCAGAGATGTCAATTGCACCAATATTTTGAATTCCTTGGAGGAACACTGGAAGGTTTTCCATGACATAGTGGGCTTTACTGAGAAGAGAGCTGATACTAGAAATCACATCCAGGAGCATGTTTAGTACATTGCCTATCTCAGATGGTATCTTTATCTTGGAAAAAAGGAAAAAATACAACAATAAATTCCAATTAAAGACAAATTTTAACCTTTCAATGAAACACTCAAAATCATCCAGTCTTCTTCTAAAATCGATTACGCAATGTTCCTGCAAACCATGTTTAGCAAAATTCTTTTTACTATAACTCCCTGGTTACTCTCAAATTCAGCTAAAGAAAAATTATCAGGTAATGTAAAAATTTGCCTGTGACAAATCAGGAATTAAAATCCAGAGAACCTGTTTATACCTACCAAGCTGAAAAGAGCTCTCCTACCCAAGATGGGATCTTGAGCATCCTGCTAAGAACTTTTTTTCAACAGGTTCAAGATGCTCGATGTAGTAGTTTGATATTTTGAAAATAGTTCACAAAATAAATCTAGCAAACACTTTGGTTGCTCTAGGAATCCCATTAAACAGCATTTTTTTTGGTCACAGTTTCACCCCTTGCATTTTTAACACACATCGCCTTTTAACTAAAATAATTGTGTGCATTTCATTCTGTACTTGATTAAAGTTCAGTTGGCTGTTTGCTGTTTCCACTATGAAAATTTTGGCATGCTGAATTTTCTCTCTGCTTCCTCTGATCTTATAGGTTATTTAGATGATATGGTAGTATAAACAGATTCACAATGTTCATTATTACCTGCGCATGCATGATGATAAAAACAGTGTAACTATCTCATTATACACTTTCCGCTGCTTCCTCTGATTATTTTTATTTTATCTACCTTTATTTGACTTCCTACTATAATAACGTCTGTGCTTGATTTTAATCTTATTCAGTTAAAAATTAGCAAAATTTCCTCAATGATTTAGGATGAGCTGTCAACATTTTTTATTCTTTGCTATGAATTCACTATGCTTCAGTAGAAAATCCCATCAGAATAAGCACTGGCAGGGGGGTTCTGGCTTTTTCCTCTCCTCTAGGTTGGAAGATAATTCAGAAAGTAGAAATCTTTTCTTTTCCCTCTGTTATCTTAACCTATTCTGTTAAATATTCTTAGTTTTAAAGGTATGTGGCGAACCTGTTTAACTACACACGCAGCATCCAGAATATAACCCAGCATCTACAGCTTTAGAATAAAACATTATTCCTCGCAATATTAATTTTTTTTTAACTATTTGTACCTATAACAATTTATGTTCTGTCAATCAATTATCCAAAAAAAGGAATTGAAAACAAATATCTACTATCAGAAATCCCATCCAATTTTGCTCTTACAAGAAAAAATATTATCTCACTGAAACCCATGCTAGATCCCAGATTATCTATAGTTGTACAGATAATTCAGCTCTCTTACAGATTTCTCCATCCCCTTCACTATGGTTTTGGCACTGTATTATTCCTGTCAAAGTTGTTTTACTTGGGTCATATAAAATCAAAGAGGTTTGCCCTTACAGACACCCATCCTAAGACATGGAAAGTCCCCTTCCCGAAGGATCCACCTGAATTGTCAACATGATTTCTATAGCAATAAAATACATTCCAGAGTGGTACGAATTCTTCCTTGAAGATAATTTTGCAATTATTTTAATGTTAGCTCATATACTTGTTTTAGTTCTTCTAATGCCAGATAAGTCTTCCATACTTACAAAATTAAGAGGAAACTAATTGTATGAACTGCAAACTCTGCTAAAGATTAATAAAACTATGTCTTCAACCTCCCGTGTTTTCTCTAAAGTTTTCACAACTCATCAGTGATATTTCTTCTGAGAAAGCAAGAAATGGAATACAGTAGCATTTACCAACCCCATTCTCGCAGTGTTGTGTTTATTTTCTGGAGCTAATTGAAGACAAAAAATGCCACGTGTCCGGTGTTTTCTCCCATAGAATAAAGAAAGTCTGAAGAAACAATAGAATTATTCGTTTCTCTACCTGCGTGCTTTGGACCACCCTCAAAAGAAAAACATAGGAACTGAACGGGGTTTTTTTTCCATCTTACCTTGTAAATGATATGACGCAAGTTCAAATTCTTTATGATCAGTACAAACATGGTATACAAGTCCAGTGCTGGTAAAGAACATAGTTCTTCCGCTACTAAGGGAGTTTCACTGTTTTCAGGTAGCTTTAGCAGCAGGCCAAGTACTTCTTCATCACATCTTCCACTTAAAGCTACCACAAAGGCACTGTAAAAGAACTATCATAATGCATGCATGTTAAAAAAATTTCTACCTTAAATGCATCACCTTCTTTTATAGTCAATAAAGTGAGAACGTGAGTCATGCTAACATGACAATTTGCAGTCATCAACAGACCTGGAATAAAAAACCACACAGCTTAATATCAGATTGGCATGTTTTTCCTGTATATTCCCTGTACATAGAAAGAGATAAAGTATAACTCTCATAAAAATTTACTTTCATTTGTGAACAGGTTGATCACTGATTCTATGAGCATTCATACCATAAGCAGACATATGTACAGTGCTGAACATATCCATTCTAGCAGATACACAGCTTTATTGCAGAAAGACCTCAAGATCAAAGTGTGCATGTATGAATCACTGAAATCAAACAATACGGACCTTCCTCTCTTCAGAGAACACACAAATTTAACATGTAGGGATTCCTATATGGCATAACGTTCATTCTGAGCCAGGTGACATTTCTCAGTTCAACACTCATTTGAAGTGGTATTAAATAGTGGATGAAGGGACAAATGTCAAATTTGACAAATGTCTAAGCAGATCTTGGGCGAGCCTGCAATAAAAACCTCTTTGGATAATGATGGTTTGTGTCTTCCTACAAGAATATCACATCAAAAGACAAATACTTGCAGCCCAGATATCTCAGGAGTTTGCAGCTATCTTTTGTCCTGAATTGCCTGAAAGAAAGCAAATGGCATCAAGTCCAGAAAAATGGCAAGTTCAGAGCGCGTAAGAGTCAAAACAGAGTACGTGGGGCTCTATTGCACTCCTTAGGATAGAATCTGCCTGTGCTGCCTCCGTTGAATGCATCTGTAGCTAATAACAGCGCTCAGTGAGGGAGAGGATCCCCAAGAAAAATCAAACTGGGAGCCAAAGTTGGTCAATATATACAATTTTAACTCTTTAATTCTTATGAACATTTTAAGCTCCAACTTATTAATTTGACTTTTAGATTTTAAATCTGAAACATAATTTTGCTTTTGTGATTCCAAAGGATTTCCTACACATCCAAATATTCAGAGGTTTTGTTCATGTACAAGGAACAGAATATGAATATAAATATAATTCTGCTCACAGCATAAATGGATGTTAATTTGGATTTCTTGTTGTGGAAGAAATCTGACTCTGTGATACAATTCGAAATTTATTTCCTCATGCCCCACAGGAATACCACCATTTCAGTCTGTTTTTAACCCATTCAGCATTTTATCCACTAGATTAAACTCATCTGAACTTTTCTTGCAGTTGTATTAGTATCAGAGCTAATCCAAATTTATGGTCTTCAGGTTACAGGTTTTGAGCAGTTTCAAAACCCTTAACCACATGGCAACAAGCATGGATAGAGCATAATATTGTGTTAGAAATTATGGGTAAGTGCAGTAAACACACACAACTCACAGGCTTACTCTTACCATTCCAGAGGCAAGCACAGCAATACGGGACTGCAGTGAGCCTGCAGCTATCGTTAGGATTATCAGACAGTGGCTATATACACCATAAACTTAACAGGCATGTCTAAATTATAGCTTAAAAAAGCACTTATGCATCCTGCATAATCATTAAGAGACATAGGCTTTAATGATCCAGTTGGACTGGGGAAGGATTTAAGCACTTAAGCAAACAAATAATTCTGAATAGAAATGCAAATGTGAGATGTGACATATATCTAAACTCTACATTGGACTTGGGCAAAAAGTAAGGTTTGGAAATCATTTTAAAATTCAGGCAATTAGCATTATTATTCCAAAAGATCAAAGGGGCGTCAAATCCTATATAACTGAACCACTTCCAGACGACTTCTCTCATTACCATTTACTGGTTTCAAAATAACAAACTAACAACAAAGACAGTCACAGTGCCAAAACAGCAGAAGGACAAATCGTCTATAAGTAGCTATGATGGTCTGAACTGCCTTTGTAATAGCCACAATTTTCACAAACAAGACTTGCCACTGTTCCTGCAAGTAGAGCATCAGTGACACCCAGTGGTTGCCTGATTGACCTGATTATTTTATACCGAATGTACCCAGATCTCTTTTCAGTCAGACAAACATTAAGAGAGAATCTGTAAGATAGGTGGCATTTTTCATGATTTCTACTAAGCACTGGGACTGCAAGAAACAGCAGCAATTTCTGAGTCCTTCACTCAGAAAGCTTATACAATCTATCCTTTAGACAGTGCTCATGAGACAACAGATGAATAACGTGGAGGTAAGGCAAAATAAAGTTAAGATAATGTAAGAATAGTGAGGAGCACATGAAGGAATATCAAAAAAAAAAAAAAAATCAGACAACTCCATACTGCAGGGATCAGAAGTGGAAAGATACAAAATTATTTTTCCAGGAACCCTCAGCCTTTTCTACAGTACCAAGACAGCAAAACTCAAATTCTGTGTCAGCACAAGAGGGTAAAACACTGCTGAAAGTAATGAAGTCATGCCATTTAGACCAGAAGACTAGTGCTACTATAAATCGATCTCTTAAGGCTTCACATTATCACTTTTAAGTCCTAAATCTCACAAAACATTCTACACAGAAGAGAAGTGAAAACGTAAGATTCCACATAAAGTGGTTTGTTTTGTTTAGGTTGACATGTCACACTACAGGTGTTGACCCATTAATTTGACACCTCTGTTTGATCTTTTACCTTTGAATGAGATATACTGGCTTCCAAGATGGTGCTGATGGTTTCTTCAGAAATATTGACAAAAGAACTAACGTCCAGCATCAACTGAGTAATGTTCTGCACATATTCTTTGACTTTCATATCTGGAAGAAAAATAGTGCAAAGAGTACCAATCTGCTTAATTAAGTTGCTCACAGACTGTATGCTTTTTCACGGGGCATGATAAAGGACACAAAACCTTCATATCATGTGATTCACTTCTACTTTGAATAGGTCACTGTCCTGGCTGACTGAAGGGCTTGTCCATCTATGTGCACTGTCCTGTTAGAACACAGGTTATCCCACATCCCTGTATGATGAGGACATCTGGAATTAGTAAAGCAGCCTTTAATTCTTTAAGATTTTCTTCTTCCACTAACATAAGTCCCCTTTTCTTTCTAATGACTCCTTGTGTCTTACTGGAGAGGCTGTGACAGGGTAAACTAAGCTGTCCTGTGCAACTCAAGCACATGTATGTGCACATTTGTACAATAAAAATACATTGCATTAAGTTTCCATAAGCAGTACCCCCTTACAGTCTGAAGAACAATGAAATAGTTATTGTCCTACAAAATTACACAGCAGTGACATATAAAAAAAACCCATAACAAACAAACAAGTGAATAAAACTGGAACCCACCATTCAAATTATGAAAATTGCTCAGAAGAGTTGCCACTGGATTTTCTGACAACTGTAGCTCCAAGTTTTCAGCCACCCTGAAATGATAGCCTTAGTTTCACAAGTTATCAGAACTAAATAATTGACTGTGTGACATGAATAGTGAAATAACCACTAAATGAGGCATTACACTCTATGTGCAGATGCTGCACACGCAGGCAGCAAATCTACAGAGGCCTCGTGCTGTAGTTGTATGGTGCAGGGATATTTCATGCCTAAATGAGAATGCAAATGTAGAGCTCTTCCCATGATGCCTAAGTGCTCTAGCATAAAGTAGTTTATGGAGAAGCACAGGTCTAGCAATGTCTCACTTTCGTATTTCTCACTGAGCATACATTTTTAAAACCTAGAGATACAAAGCACTGCAGTTCAGGATGAATTAAGTTCATTTAGTTTTAATTTAAGTAATAAGTTGTACACATGCATCAGATATTATTTATCACTCAAAAACTGGACGTGAGCCTATGTTCCATAAGAGCAACATTTAAGCTCGAGTTCTTCTATATTATTGTAATTACTGAAATTCACAGAGACCATTCAAGGCCATTACGAAAACAATCCAACAGTCAAAATAGTATAGCAACAAGTATAATCCTTCTAACTAACAACAAGCCTGAAATACTCTGTAGTAGCAGTTTTGTTTATTTCCTTAAAAATCTACTATTTTTTTTCAAAGGGAGTAGTAAATAACTGAAATTATTAGGGGTTTAAGTCTGACAGTTTACAAGCACCATTCTGTGTTTCTGACTGAGCTGCTGAAATTATCTGAACGTTTAATGTTTTGCCAAAGATATCCAGCTGCTGAGAGGACAAGGCCAGAGCAAAACAGTTCTAAATAAGAAATTTCAAATTATTAAAATCTTGACTTAATTTAGGTCATAGAAAATTGAAAATTTTCTTAGTCATGACTCAAAGTATTCTCCTTGTGGAGGCAGCAAGATCTGCTACAAGTATGCAGCAAAAGTGTAAAGGCACTTAAATATATCCAGAATTTTGCTAAGTTACTTTCACAATTTGTGCATTGCAAGTGCTCAATTTTCAGTTAAATATGCAAATCTTAAAGAGACTTTGATACACAGTATCTCTCCTGTAATTACATAATTTAGAACACAGATATATTCACAAAATAACATTTCTACCAGGAACCATTTGGTTACCAAAATGTAAAAGGCTTTACATTTGCAGTCGTCTCTCTACGTTCCCCAGCATTAGTTGACATTCACAGCTGCCACTGCTGGTATTCTGCAAGGCTCTCAGGAAGCTCCCCAAAATACTGGACAGCTCTTGGTTTATATATACCATACTCTCACAATCTCCCTCACTGAAATCAGGCCACATTCCTTCAATATCCTGCAAAACACAGTGATTGTATGGTTAGTAAATTCATGAGATTATGTTGTTGCTTGAAGCAGCAGGTCTTTGCAACTAGATGACGTGTATTTTCAAGTGAGGATATGGGTAAAATAATACTCTTTTACTCATTGTGCTTGTAATTTAAACAGGGCAAGACATTTTCAAAAACTAAGGAATTTTCAAAGATATGTTTAGGAAACACTCAAAAGTATTTGTGAATTTAACCTAGCCTATCAAGGAGATTTATCCATTAATAGAAGTATCAACAATTTTATCTGAAATTTAACTTCAGAGTGAAATAAGCTCTGCCTTTTTTTTATTTTAGACTATTTTTATCTTGTTTTCCCAAAATACTGTTCTAAACTTCATCATTTTTAATTTAGCGAATCAAATAGCTAGATACCTATATCCAAAGTTTTTCTTGCATTATGCTTTGTATAGTATTAACTTTTATCTTTTTTTTCTGAATATTCACATTTCTGAAGTTGCAAATTTATTTATTTTTTTAAATATTTGCAGAACTAGGTGATAGAATGGTGGCGACTACAGAGATGCACTTGTCCCACAGAAGTCTACTTTGAGATATCAAACACGCCTCTGACATCCGTTTACCTTAAAACATTGCTGTTCATATCAGCAAAACATCCAGGTAGACAAACTAGCAGAGATGTTTCATAAAGATGAGGCAAGTTCCGTACTAAAAACACGATTTAAGTATTTTGTCTGTGTGTGCATGCATGTGTGCACCAACCAAGAGCCTGCTTACAACTCTGAACAAGACTCTAAATGCCAAATGTTACTCTTTCCTGCTGGTAATTTCATGTACTGTTAAAGAAAAATAGGCTGGCCCCAACTAATAACCACAATTACTATTCTAGCCACATTTACAGCTTTCAAAGCTCACCAATGTTTACTTAAGGAATTCCTTCTGAGTATCACTGTCAAAATCATCAGAGCTGTACCCATACAAACTTTGGCTTTGTATACCCACTGTGGGGATTCATCATTCAGACAGGAGGGAAAAAACAAAGAAATTTTCATTAGTTTACAAAGTTTAATATAACTTGTAAAGAACAGTTTTGGGTGTGGAAATCACTCAAACCTGATAATGATCTTGAACGAGAGCGATTGCTTCAATGGTAGAGAGGAGTAAGTGACTCATTAATCCATCCTTACACTTTGTAGCAACACAGAAAAGGTTCCCACTCACAACTGGTTCTTCTGTAAGAGAAAATGTCCAGTCTTAATCAGTTTAAAAAATAAATAAATTACTATAATCAGATGAAAAGTTAACCAAATGAGGGACAGAAGAGTTTTTAAAAGCAAAGAAAACACTGAGAAATATTTCAGGCTAAGTTCATTTATCATTGCAGAGAGCAAGAAGAGCTAGTTTGACGCAATTTGCATTACTCTTCTCCGTTACACTTTCTGATAAATAAGAAGAACAGCAATACTTGCTACAGAACTAAAGAAAACTTCAGTTTTGCTCTTTGTAAGCAAGAAGCTATGTACATTAACCACATTTACCACCTCCTTGAGCAGCCTCTCTGATCCTATTTCCCTGTAGAGACACCAGGATGGTACTAACCTTCCAGTGAGTAGTGACTTTCAAACCTTAGCTACAAGGGGAGAGAAACCATTACATACACATTTTGCATATCTAGGTATAAAAAAAAGTACATATAGGGGACATTTACCACCTGACCATCCATGGAGGAAGTTTCTATCCAAGCTTGCATCCCCCATGTATCTGGAAAAAAAAAGCTCTGTTCTCCTGTATGTAGCAGATTAGGATAGCAGGGATTCAGCTTGACTCAACAGTTTTTTCCTTTTGTTTGGTTTATAAGTCAAGAATGAAAAATAATAAACATTTGCCACTGCTTCTAAAACAAGCAAACCTTGATCTTGCTCACAGAAGTAATACAGCGCAACCCAGTAATGAAAACCAAGTCAGGAGGTTTTCATATTTTCTCAGTAGGTTTCATGTACTAAATGAAGCATCCCTATAACCAGACTTTTGAAAAAAATTACAAAAATTTTGTTGCTTAATCTCAGTTCTCTCAGTAAAGAGACCTTCCTTCAGGAGTCAATGACACTTCCCAGGTACTTGACACACATTTTCAGTATCACTTATTCTGAGCTCAACATTGCTACCATTTTACTCTTTGGTAACTATATCAGTCACAAGAGAGTAGAGGAAATAGTTAGAATCTTGGTTGTACTCACAGCTTATGTTTTGTTTGAAAACAAAGTTAGTATAAGACATTACCAATCTAATCTCTTACTCTAGAACAGTGGGTTAATTCCTCCTAATTGCTCTTTGCAAACAATTCTGGGCATAAGAGGGTTAAAATGTGAAGTTTGAAAAGCAAAGGCTTTGATTTCCCCAGAGAAAATGTAATAGGAAATTCTACCCTTAGTGAATACAGAGCCTTTCTTAAAGTGCTCATGGTGGGGGCCTATATACAAGGAGTAAAATAAGCCTGGCACATTAAAATTTGAACAGTTTGTTGGAGGTGAAGGTACTCTGCTACAGTTAGCTGTTCCACTGGCTCAACACAGCCAGAATGGTGGTATTGCTTCCTTTACATACTTGACTCATTTTTCCTTTGTCAGCTACCTGCTACCTTGTTGCAACTCTGGCTCTAACAAAATCTCTGTGACCTCTCTCAGTTCAATAGTTTGGCAGAAAAATATCCAGTAAAAAAGGTAAGACAAACCACAAAAGCATATACAGTCTTCTGCCGCGTTCATAAGGCAAATCAAAAAAAGGAAGAGGTGCTGGTGTGTCAGAATAAGCCTGGGAGGAAAGGAATGAGCACACAGCTGCAGGACCTCATGCTTTCTCTGAGATTTTGAATCAACACGACTGCTTCAGAAAGAAATCATCTCTTTATGTGATCTGCATCCAAATTTTTCCTGTATTTCTGTTGATTTAATTTCTAGCCTTCACCCAATTTCACTTATTTTTACAAAATGTTGCTTAGAGCAAAGCTTTAACATTACAGTACTAAGGTGTATGGTGACCCATACAGTCACTACTGTAGTAACCAACCTGAAAAGATTTTAAGCATATTCAAAATCATAAACTGCAGCTTCTGCAATAGTAGGACACTAGCAGGATATAAACGTTTCTGAAAAATCTTGCAGATTTTAGGTGCTCTGTAAAAAGATTAAGAAAACATTATCTTCATAACAAAGATATCACAGAAAATTTTCAGCAAGTGACTATATATGGTTGCAATCTTAACTAGATCATATGAGGATTTTAGTATTAAGACTTGCTACTTTTGTATGAACTATTTCAAAATCAGAACATAATACTTCCATAAAAACAAAACAAAAACACAAAACAAACAGGTTTTCATGAAGATGGCAAACCATCATTTTCCTTAAGACTTTAGGAATTCTAGAAAGTACCTTAGCAAAAGAAGCAAAATCATAAAGGCTTCAGAAATACTGAGAGCCCATAGTATATACTGACCCATAGTATATACTTGGCAAAGAACAGAATACTCCAAAATCTCTGATAATCAGTATTTGGGGAAAATAAACCACTTTACGAGTATTTGCTTTTGATTTTTTCAACAGTTTTGGCTAATACCTAGGCCTACTGACTGGTGGATTCACATTTTTGCATAAAACAAGTCTAATTACCACATTAGAGTGTGCATCAACTTTAGTATGCTGTTTCTCAGGTGGTCTATGATAATAGGATTACTAGCTCCACTAGCAAGACATACTAGAGCTGTTTGGAGCAAACATCTTGTGGGGTTCATTAGGTGTGATTTACATGCAGCAATTCCAGTTTATCAGCACTTTTATTAAAAAGCTTTTCAGTAAACTTTTTCCCAAAGCTGTTTCCTTTGCTGCTGGATTATGTTTGTTTCTCTCAGCCGCTCTTCATAGGGCATGTTTTCCAGACCTCTCACAAGCCTTGTTGCCCTTCTCTGCACCCGCTCCAGCACCTCAATGTCCTTCTTATACTGTGGTGACCAAAACCAGACACAGTACTCGAGGTGCGGTCTTACATCAATAACATAGCCCATACAATACAACATGATGCCGAGTATGGCTAGCTTGAGCAATATAAATTGATACAAAATGTTGTTCTATTCAAAAGCCCAAATCTGAAATGAAACAGTAATTAACTTGAAAGTTTTGTTTATAAACAAAACCCCCACCTGCCATAGTCAGCACATTGTCAAAATGAGTACATAGAAAATGCTCACCTCATTTCTGCCATTATATCCCTATGCAAATCCTTGAGTAAGAAGGTTGTTTTGTTCCTGCCATATTCTGTGGTAGAGTGAAACATCATTTGGAAGATCTCGTTCATGATCTCCAGAGTTCCCTTAGGAGATTGTGTAGAAACTTCTCTATATCGTGTGTTACCAAAAAATGAGTCAATGAAATCAACTGTCTCAAGTTCAGTGTTGTTTGCATGCAGAGCTTCTTCTATACCAGCAAGATCAGCAATTTTATGAAGGAAATTGTTTAGCAAAAATGAATTAGCAATATGATTGTTATTCAATTTTTCTCTGTTAAGATGACCATCAACAAACAACATACCAGTGTAATCTTCCTTCGACTTATTGTGGAATAGTTCCAGAAAGTCAACAATGTCTTTGACAACTAGCAGTAGGTCATTTGATGAATTTTCATTAGCCAGAGTAAGAAACAGAGTATGCATTATTTTAGAATTATTTTTATTGCTACACTCACACATAAAGCTGTTCACAATCTCTTGTATGTCTTCAAGATTTCTTAACATAGCACCTACAGATGATGTATTAAACTGCTGTATTAAAACATCAAGAGTCATTGAAGAGGATTGTCCAGTGGCTAACCCTAGTAACTGAAACTCTTGATCTATCATTGCAAGTAAGTGTGTAACATTGAAATTCACCAATAAATCTTCTATGCTTGTAACTATAGGAAACCAGAAGTTCTCAAAGTCATCAGATACGTTACTGCTTCCATTTAAAGCCGACATTGCCATAAGAACTGAGTATGTCTGATTTCCAACAGAAGACAGCATAATTAAAGGCTGAATTACAGAAAGAAAGGAACGGACAGCTTCTGTATCCAGGAGTCCAGAAACTTCACTGGTCATATTCTTAACATTATTAAGAACAGTCTTTATAAGAGAAGTTTTTGAACGTCTATTCCAACCTAGGCCAGCATAAAGAGCTTTCAGCTGTTCAAGAACACCTTTGGCTATCTCCATTTCTGCCACTGGCATACTGCTCAGTGTTTCTATGGTGCGTAAAGCCACTTTTCTCTTCGGTGCGGAGGAACAATTGATTGAGCGTGCATTAATCACGTGCAGTGGCACAGTGTGGAGGTATAGCTCATTCCAAAAATCTAGCAGCTCTTTGAGAACTGAGCCATTTACATGACGGAGCTCAGAAAAATTCAAAAGAACAGAGTTCCATTCTCGGATCTGATGAAAAAAGCAAGTCAAATTGTGAGCGATATCTGTCTGAAAGTTTTCCATAGTGCATGAGGAACTATTCTCCAAAGTGATGATTTTCAGCTCCTTAATAACTTCAATGACTGCATTGTGACTAAAAGTATAATTACCATGCACAAAGTCACAAAGTTTGAAAGTGGGATCATTCTGAGGTGTGGCTGTTGTCAGGGTCCAGCAGAATGTTGCAGAAAAACAAACTGAGGCATTTGCATGTTCATCAGATATATTTTTCAGTGTCTCCAGTAACATTAGAAGACTTTCTACTTGATTAGAAAACTCCTGTTCAGTAAGCATTGGCATCTTTGCTTCCTGAGCCAGTACGAAAGCATAGACCTCAGTTAATGCCTCTGTGATATTTCCATGAGCTAGTCTTTCTGTAAGGCTGATGACATCAAGAAGGAGGCGGAACATCTCCTCTACATTGTAGGGCTCATCTTGTTCAAAGAGTCGTGTTATTTGTCCTAAACCAGTAAGGTTCCAGTTACATGAATTGTTCTCAAGTGCATCCCACCAGTCTGTTAACATTCCTAACACGGAGCTGTAAATATACAAAGGCTTCACACTTTTAAAGAAATAATCTAGGTTGCTCTGAACTTGCTTGAATTGACTTATCAAGAACTCAACATCCATGTTCCTCATACTCTGCACCAAGGCAACCATATGCTCTAGAAACTCTTTATCATTGCTTAATGGAAGGCCAGTAAAACTGGAAGGCTTGAAAACTTCAAGTGCCTTCCTGATCAGTTCAATATTCAGAGCTGCAGTTTCTGTCAGTTTCTGGAAGAATGACTTATGTTCATCCTGCAAGTTTGAGTCAAGTTTACTAATCACATATTGAAAGAATTCCATCAAATTGATATTTTTTTCAAGCAAGAAAGGTTCAATCTCCAGATGAGAGAAACTGTTTTCCTGGATTTCAAAACTTTTGTTTTTCAGAAGAGTTTTGATTTCTGCCAGGAGTTCTACTAATGAAAGCTGAACATGGTGAAAATGATTAAGGAATATTCTTGAAGTCCTGTTAAATCCACGGACTGACTGACTAAGATGGGTTTTGTTTGATGTATACTGTGAGTGCCTCACTAAATCATCGAAAACTATTGGTATTTGCCCTCCAGAGTTATTTAAAAGTTTAAAAATAAATTCATGCACGCTAATATCACCTTTTACATAAAATTCAGGGAGCGTAAATTCTAAAGTTTTTGATATAATATTGAAATAAACATTTACACAAATCACTTCAGAAGCAGTTTGGGAACATTCAGGGAGTATCAAATTAAAAATCAAATTAACAAAGTCCATCACATTCATGAGCTTGGCATCTGGTTCAATGTTTCCCAAATATTTCAGTAGAAATAAAATATGTTTTGCACTTTCAAGGTGGGAAGGTGACCTGTATTTTTCACTGAGATTACTTAATTCATGTATCCATCTGTTACAGCCCTCTGCTTCAACCATACTATAAAAGTTTAGAAAGGAATTGAGATGAGATGAAAAGTTTGTTTGCAAATGGCTTATGTTTTTCAGAGTATTGTCCAAAATCAGTTTGGTAATATTCTGGAAAATGCTGATACAAACCATGTATTTGTCTTGAGATATACTGTTAAAGAAAGCAGCTGTGTCTTTTATCTCAGTGAGAATAATTCCAAGTTCTTTTTGAGAGAGCTTGAGAACAGTAGAAAGGGAATTTCCAATGGAAAATACACCAGCATCCCTATCTTCTCCCTTGGATCCTCCTGAGATGAAAGTATCAAGCCAAGAATTCAAAAACTCTCTGCTAACAGCCTTCAGTATAGATTTCTGCAGTTCAGTTATCATGATACCCATAATTTCTAAAACACCTTCTAAATTGTTATTTTCAAGCAAGCTTGTGACATCAACTGCATTGTTAAATACACTTCGAAGGGTGGCAAGGAAAGCTTCAAAATCTTTCCAGTTGTTTAATTCACCATCTCCTTCAACCACAATTTTTAATAGACGCATTGCTGCTGCTGTAGCTTCAACAACCACCATACCTGTATTATTGCAGAATTTATCATGAGTTGTGTTTAAAACACTTTCAGAGAAATCTGCCAAATCATTTCTTAGACAGACAAAAAAAGTTGAATTCAAATTTAAGATTTCGGATGCTTCTTCAAAAACCTCTGTCCAGGTTTGAAGCCATGTAAAAGTGCAGTGCAAAGCAGAGGGCAGACTTATCTTATCTCCCAAGTTTGTTATATTAGACAGGACACTGTTCAATGGAAGCAGAAGTAAGTTGTAAACCTCTGCTGAATGATCTGCAGAAGTAATGTCTGACAGATAAAAATCAATGCATTCATTATTTACCAGGCATCCTGGCGAGATATCAAGAAACTGTTCCAAATAACAAAAGGCAGCTGCTTGGAGCTCTTCATCCATAAACAAAGTTTTAAGGCTGCTCAAGGTGCTATGTATAACTTGCATCTCTTTTTTTCTTTTCTGGGCAAGAGTCTGAGCTTGAAATTCTGTATAATTGTAAATTATTAGTAACTTTTCACAGAGAGACTTACTGGTGAAGTTCCAGAGAAGATCAAAAGTTTCAGACAGAAAATCAAAAACTTGGTCCCTATCTTGGAAATTATGCCATACTTGAAATGATGAAATATCTTCTGAAGTCTCATAAAAAAATGTTAACAGAGAACTATTGCTCACAATATTTAAGAAGAGGTCGTCATTCTGATACAGAGAGAAAAGTATTGGAACAAGTGAGGCCACAGTAGTACTGTTTAACTTTTTGATGTTTTTTAAGAAATCATGCACAGTTTCTCCTAATTCTTGTACTTTAGATATAAAAGTTTCATCTGAGAGTAATAAAGGGGAAGCATTACTCACTCCATGAATTGTGCTGAAAGACACATTGACGTGATCATCAGTCAATGATCTGACCTCATGGAGACTCCTTAGGAAGTTTTCACTTAAGTATTTTAGATGGTTCAAAGCAGCAATATTTAACTCTGGCCAATCAGTCAGAATATGTTGCAGCAATAGCGTACTTCTATTATGGATTTTATTTTCTGTTATGGAAATTATAGTTCTAGATAAGGTCTTCAATGCCTCCTTCTCTTTGACTTGACTCAAATGAGAAAGCCTAGAATCAAGTTTATTGAATATAATTTTCACTATATGCCAGAAAACTTCCGTCTTTTCTTTTGTCCAGAATTTCTGAAGAGGCTGAAAATTTTTTCGTAGCTCATTATGGAGCTCAGAAACTGTGAGTGAGAAATTGGTAGCAGATTCCTTTCCCTGAGCAAAATTTTTCATCCACATAGTTGTATTATTCAATACATTTTCATTTAGAGAGTGGCTTGAAGAAGCTGAGAAATCAAACATTATAATTTTTTTTATGATTTCTACAAGATGAAGAAGATGCTGCATTTCCTTTTCACCAGAAATCCTCACATGTTCTTCGCTCTTCAAAAAGTCTCTGAAAGATGTCAGAATTCTGAAAAATCAACCATGAGGGGAGTTTTTATTAGTTACCTCGCAGACAGACAAGAATTGGTTAAATATATAGGTTTTAATTTTAGAATATAGTTTTATTTATACTTAAAGAAAATTCAAATATAATTTAAAGAGCAGTCACAAATTGATCATCACAAAATCTGAAATGGCACAAATGACAATCATTTTGGCTTCAAAGTATGATAAAACTCACTGATGTCACAACCATATTCAAATCAAAACCTGAATGCAGGCAGTTACATTGAAGAGTGCATTTAGCAGTAATTATCATCAAGCTTCTAAGCCACAGAGTCAAACATCTTTAAGTACATCACATTTTCAACTGCTGAAAAGAGCAAAGATTTACACTCCATAGACTAATTATATTATTGAAAGGAATTTACCAATAAAATCAATCAAAATCTCTAATTTTCTGTGAATTCTGAAGAACTGTTTGTTTTATCAGAATTATTAAAAGCCAAAACAATTCAATTGATCAACTGATAACTGAACATAGGTATTTTAATAGAAAATAGGAAAAAAAACAAACCTAAAACATGAAATCACAGGGAACATTGAAATACACCAACTGATGTTTTCATTTTGACACTACTGTTTATCAAAAGAGTGTTTACTAGCTCTGTAAGACTGGTCAAGATTGAGGTGCATGGCAAAAGGAACATTCAAATGCAAATGTCTCAAGTGTCAATTACTGGTAAGGCTTCTACAGGAGAGAAACCAAGATGGAAATAAAAAAAAAAAAAGGCATTCTGCATGTAGAATCTCTTTCCTAGACCTATTCAAGAAATACCTTGCATGTACAGCAAAGTAATCCCAGACAAGTCAGATTAGGGTTTTCTAATACTACTGTGTAGAGAAAACAGTGCATACTCTAGAAACAGTATTTAAGACCAAATCCAGGTCCTTGCTCCAGCAAATGTGTCTGCATTGATCTCTATAAAAAAGTTTGGAAAGAGCACAAAAGAAAAGAGATTGAACATTCAGTATATTGATTCACACTCTAGTCCTTAACTTCCATTTTGTTTTTACTGTAGATATTAAGAATATCTAAGATTTTGAAAACCCAAACTAGGAGTCCTTTGCTTCTAGAACCCTTTTTAATCAAGCTGCTGATGTCCCTGTGAAGTTCTGCTTGAATGAAAAGTATGACATGACCTGTCTGCCAGTGGAGCAAGTATTCAAATTGTGCCCTTTAGAAACTTTTGAATTTTCATCCTTCACTGCAATGATAGTGACATTTCCATTTGATAGATTAAACAATGGAATGATTTAGCAGAGCTATATTGCAGCATAATGAATAAAATAAAATAAAATCCAAAATCCAGAACTGTAATTTAGAGACTATTCTCATCTATTAACAGCTGTGACAGTCAGCACAGCATAGTAAATAGTTAATAGCAGAGGCAGCACTACAACAATTAGCCTGAAGTTATTCCATAAAGGATAACTTTTTCTTTTTTTTTAAACAGAGTTATGATTAAATGGTTTCTGTTTTACTATTCATCTAAACATCAGCAGGGCTATAATGCAATTAACTTTGTGACAAAAAGCCCTTGTAATAATACACTGGAACCATCAGAAGTGCATCAGTTTGGTTACTATTGATAACACAAGAGAGATGGAGATGTCTTTTCTTAATGCTTTTGGAGTGATTTTGAAAAACAATTTTCTTTCCACTATTCTATTTATTCCTGGTAATACTGAAAAATAACAGTTATTTGTTGAAAAGAGGCAGGGTAACTATGTTCACAAATTACAAAAGTTCAAAGTGGAGACAGGAGAAAGATTTCTGGAAAATGTTGAAATAAACAAATTACACTGACTAGTTCAACCTTACCGTGCCCAGGAAACAAATGAGGAATAATCTGGTAAATCTTGCAGAAATGCTAAATAATGACCTAGGATGGTCTCCAAACTGAGATTTTGTCTAGAACATAGAGATGCTTCTACTCCATCTGTGGAGAAAATAAAAATTTCAACATCAAGAGTCAGATTAAAAGATGTTTTTAACAACACATCTATGAAAAACTTGATCAATTCCTACTGGACCTGAGTAAGTCCTACCAAACTTAATAAGACTTGAATGTATGCAGAAAGAGAACTACATTATGTACTTTTTAAAAGGAGTAAATACAGATTTTTTTTTTATTAAAGTGTTTGCTGTTAGTTCTACTGAATGATTTAAAGAAATGTAGAATCAATAAATTTCAGCTCTACGTAAGGCACATCTGTATTTTCCTTACAGATCTTCTTGCAGAAAAAAAGGAAAACTAGAAGATAACTAAAACTAGAAGATAACTTTAGAATTACACATGAACTGCAGAACAAGTTCAAATAAAATTAGTTTTATATACTAGAGTGGACTTAGTACTGTACTCAGCACAGAAATTAAATTTAGCATTTCTTTTTCCTTGTAAATTCAGGAAAGAGAAAGCAGATCTGTGAAATTCACTATTATTGCACAGGTAACTGAAATATCTGGAAGTGTAATAGATTATAAAACCTGTATAATCAATTCATATTTGAATAGTTCATTTCACTACCACAGTTCTTTGATTTTAAAAGTACTGCTTATTTTTGCATACATTCCATAGCTACCCACTTACAGATGAGGTATTTAGCACATATCTGATTAGCTCTGTAGAGAAAAAAAGCAGAGGGAATAAAGATGTATTCAGAAAAACAGGTCTTTAGCAAGAACAAGATCTTTCACAGATCCCAAAAACTAACTTATGAAAAATCGTCAGTAACCTAAATCCTTCAGAAATTGAAAATACAAGTGGAATAAAAAAATGGAAGAACTGAGGCCGTGGTGAGAATACTTAAAGGAAACAAATAGGTGATATTCAGCAAGGTCTTGTTTTAGAGCTGTTTGGATCAGCCACATTGTGCCCTGCTTCATAGCTCTGTTAAAACATTGAGAAGAGTAACACAAATACTTAATGAGAAAAAATTCTGAAAGATCTCCCATTCCTCAGGATAAATTTCAGATACTTCAGTTTTCTCTAAATAATGAAAAACTATTGAATTCCAAAAAGGGAACAGCAGTTGGGTCAGGGCATCTGGAATATCACAGGACAACTGGGATAAAGAAAATCAAGCATAAAACCCTTGCTTAATATGAAACAAGTCTAGAAATGCCTCTACTGGGTGACCAGCTAGTCTAGCCTCCCACTTTTATCCTAGACTTAAGAAGCTTTCCTTCTTCTGCAGAAGGATTCTCAAACAAAATAATGTTGCAAAAGCAGACTCCAACCAGGTTCAACCAGTTGGAATCTTCCCAATAGAAACGGATGATCCAAAAATTTTCCAACTGGCACCAAAATCACAGCTATTTACCAGAGTTAGGCTCTGTATATTATAAGCTGTCCTTGTTAATACTGCTGGTGATCCCTACAGCTGATAGAAACACAAACAGAAATAGGCTTACAAATGTAAAATTCTTCACCTTTGCCCTTTACGATGAATACCATATTCTAAAACAGACTGGGAACAATCAGATTAAAGTCTGTGCTGTGCAGTATCTCTTTCCTTGCCTGACTGACCTCCAGATGAGCCTGCTTCCTCATTCATGTATCGAGCTGCCTCGCATGTCCAACTGACAAAAGTTGTTAAATCCTTCCAGTATGGGCTTCCTTCAAAAACAAACAAAATTTCTTCGAGTGTATTACTAACTCTGAAATGACACCGAAAACAAGGATACCATGATTAAAACAGCGATTACTTTCAAAGACAAAATTACCTTCTGAAGACATGTCATTTCTCTGAAAAATCTCTAGCTAAATTCTATTGCTAGTTTACGCATATGGATAGTCAGGGTAGAGAAGTAATCGAGACACTGTACTTGGCACTGGTGAGGCTGCACCGTGAGTACCGTGTTCAGTTTGGATATTAGGAAAAACTTCTTTACTGCAAGAGTGGTGAAGCGTTAGAACTGGCTTCCCGGGGAAGTAGTGAGGTCACCATCCCCGGAGGTGTTTAAAAACATGCAGATGTGGCACTTCAGGACATCATTTAGTGATCACGGTAGTGTTGGGTTGACAGTTGGACTTGATCTTAGAAATCTTTTCCAGCCTTAACGATTCTGTGATTATACTGACTTAAGAAAGAATGGAGGCAGGAAGGCTAATAGCAGAATCCTTTGCTGAAATCAGCAGCATAGCACTCTGAGCACAACTAGACTTTACTATGCAGGTTTGTGAGCAGGCAAAAAAAATCCAAAACGCCTTTTAAGAACTCCCCAACAAAATTCTCTGGTTCAAAACACAGTGTTTTGAAATTGAAAACAATTACAGAGAAATGTTTCCACCTGTCCCAAAATACACCTTTACAATAAAAAAAACATTGCTTTGTCCCCGAAAAACAAAACAAAACCAAAAAAACTTGAAACAAAACAACAAAACATCCTGCATGAAAATAGTACTGATCTTTTCCTGCTCTTCAATGTTACTTAAACACAAGCCTCTATTCCCAGGGGCCTTTTAGCTTAATCTGTGGTTTTGACACTTAAAAAAAAGAAATGTAAAAACTGACCACCTGGTGATTTCATAGTCATTTAGAAACATGGAGGGCAAGAAGGCAATCAACCATTGACCAACATCAAAAGGGAAAGAAAAAATTACATAAATTTTCTAACATGTAAAATGTTATTCATATCTCTGGATTTAATCTCTGCTGCCAGTGCAGCTTGTGAAATTTCTGACAGATTCTTGACTGCTTGGAGATAATAGCTTTGCTACTTTACCAGCAAACTTGTGTCAGGTTTCTCATATGCATAAGTAATGTAGATAGTTGTCTTCCATACATGTTTAAGTTTGTGACCTAGGACATCTGTCCAGTATAAATGCAAATTCACATTAAACATATTAGGCTCATGCTTTACATTGCCAAGCAAGAATAATAAAATCCTACCCTACTCTAAAGTACTTTATTAAGATAGGGATTTGTCTCTGATATACTCTGATTTAACATCATTAAATCTTGAATTCAGTAGAATTATCGAGTCACTACAAATGACAAGATGAATGAATTTTCTGCCAAAATGGAAGAACAGTGACCACTCTATTTGTTCAGAAAGCAACCTGAGGCTGCAATAACCCTCCTACTGCACTTTCTACTATACTCTTTTTAATGTTTTCCTGTATCTCCCAGGAGTCTTTTAGATCCAAGTTTCCAAGCATCCTGAGCAGTCACTACCAGAGAGGTGTGCACTAGGAAGCAGGCTGAGAAGTACAGAAAATGCTTGTATGTGAGAAGATAAAAAAGGAGACGAGACTTTCAGAATCCCAGATACCCGCCCATCATCAATTTCCATCCCTCAGCCCAAAAATACTACTACTAAAAAAAAAAAAAACCAAAACCCCACAACAAACCAAAAAAACCCACAAAACCAAAACATCCTCTACCTTCTTGTTTGTGCTTAAAGAAAATTGTTAACACTGGGTGGTAACAGAAAGCAGAAAGCAGGGGTTTATGTATTGAAAGGTATACAGGATACATACAGTGAGAAGATCAGCTCTTCCTGACAAGAGCTGAACTGGGTATCGTCCTCAGATGGTGCCTCTGTGCTCAGCAATTGATTAATTTCACAGTAATAAGCATAATTTTTCGTTAGCTGCTCTTCTATTTCTTGCCATCCCATATAATCCTCCACTACTGTATCTGGCAGGCTCTGTTCTCCCTGAGTTACTTTCTGAAGAAGCAGAACCTTTCACAGTAAAGAAAGCAATATTTGAAACCAGCAAAAGGGAAACTCATCCGAGACTTTGGCCCTGCTTCTTAGATTTGTAATATTGATGATATTGAAATACAACATAGGATGGATTAAATGAGCAGTCTTTCAAATATTCTCAATTTTTTCTGGAAGCCACAGCTACTTAGCATATCTAAAATGTCACATCCACTCGAGAGACTCAGCAGGACCACTTGTGCCTTGCCCCTAAGCACATTTTAATCAGTTTAAATAAACAGTTACCCATCCATTTATTAATACCAACACTAAGTAGTAAGCTACAACCCCTGCTAATTTATTTCATTTTATAATAGTAATACAAGTAAGGCATTGAAAGCTTTAAAGATGAAAAAACTTCAGAAATACTTACAGATTCCTTTAGTGACTGGACATTATTTAGCTTGAAGGTGACCTCTGAGCCATTGTCAGGGCACATATACATCGCTAAAATGTCAATGTCACCTGAGCCCTGTGGAAATCTCAGGGTCTTCTCAAACATCGTAAGCATGTCATTGCACATATAGGAAGCATTGCTCATCAATATCTAAAATTTAATGAATATACTGTCACTTTAAAAATTAACTCAGGGTCAAAGAACAGATTTAATTCACACACCATAATAATTCTCACAATGAAATGTCAAGAGGAAAAAAAGTATGAAGTGAAGTTAAACCAAAATGCTGCTAAATAAGAAGTGAAGTACTTCACTTGGCAAGTATTTTTAATTCCTGAAAATAAAACTCTTCAGCTTTATGCAAACTGATATACAAACATTAAATAACAACATACCTGTTTAAGCTCCACAAAGAGCTTTTTGAGATCTAGATGAATTAATCCATCTCTTTGGGCAAAGGGAATCAGTTTTTCCAGGCTATGTAAAGCTTCTGTAAGACATTTCCCACACATAACCCATAAAGAAAATATTTAACCTACAGTGTAATTCAGGGACAGTACAGTAGGAAGCATCATTCTGGAAGAGAAAACTGTATATAATATGGTTTTAGAGGCATGGAGGTGCCAGTTTGGTTTAGATGACCTCCCTGCCCAAAGCACTCCATTTTGCACCAGATAGATACACATTTGCATTCCACTTCTGAGGAGCAAAGATTGCTCTCTTCTGCACTGCCGCTGAAGAAGGCTCATCAAGACAGGGCAGAAAGACCATCACGAAAAATATTACCAAGTCATGCTAGGGAGCTGCCAAATCCAGTAGCCCTACAGAGGTGAGGCTGCTGTAGCTCCATGACCCCAGGTCCAACAGGCAGCAAGGCTGGGCAGGTAGGCACACAAACCAACACGTACGTAGCAAATGCACGTGGCCAGTCACATGGACAGCGCTCAGGCACACGCACACAGACATCAACAGCCTCATCCTGCTCACCTCACTCGTTAGTCAGGATGAAGGTCTGTTAAAGGGAACACATATATCCACACATATATAAGTACACACAGTCTGGATTCCTCCTAGCAGCTGGGGTCAGATGCCCAGTCTGCTCAGCAGCTGCCTCTGGATCCCAGTCTCCCTCCCCTTCACATATGAGTCCTTGAGGCTGCAGTCCTCGTCCTCCTCCAGCTTCTGGTACAAATGTGCTTACTCATACACAGAGCAGATCCCTGTAATAACTTCTCAGACAGTCCATCTAGCAGCTGGTCCCGGTCCCTCAGCTCTCCCCAGCTGCCTTACACGTAGGAAGTACACGAACCTCAGTCCACCCTCAAACCCAATGGTCTCTCTGCTGTTACCCTGGACCTCCTGGTTCCTCTGGTAATATGACTCAGTAATATGACTAGCAATGCTGATTCCACGTAGCCACGTGCTAGAAACAAGATCCACAAGACAAAAATGAGACCTTTTTATCCAATGACTTCATCAATTCAGAAGATAAACAGTTGGCAAACTTAATATTAAATGTCCTTTGGAATTATGTTGAAAGAGTATTTGCTTTCTCATAAGATCCGCTCCCTGCTATGTACCCACTCCTAGTTAATTTTTAGAGTTTAAAACAGATTTTACAGTTTGGTTAGCTGATATAGCTAACGGGTACGTTGGATTATATAATTTGTGTATAAACAAGAGAGCCGCTTGCTAAATTCCTTTAAAAAAATAAATTCTTATTTGTGTTCACTTTGTAATATGATCTCTAAGGTCCCTTCCAGCCTATGCCATTCTATGATGATGATGATGATGATTATATTGCCAACTAGCTCTTGGATATCATGGTCCTAAGCATAATACAGTGAGTCCTAGCACACTGTATAACACTATAAATGTATTCCAAATCTAACAGTCACAATTACTGAAGAGATACATTTACAAGAACTTTATGGAAGCTAGCTCATCTCATTCAGCCAAACTGCTGAAACCTGATCCAGTTCCTAACTTACAAAATACACCTTCTCTTGTCCTGAGTTCTGGTAATGGCATCTTCCACTTCCTTCACTATCAGTCAAGTTTTGTGTCCAAAAGCATAGCCTCCAGAGAAACAAGTACCTTACTTCTGTGATTCACAGCCCTCAACTAAATCCCTACCTGAGGAGGTCAGAAAATTCCTATGTCCAACTCTATGTTTTGCTTCACTTACAACATCCAGACAGAAAATCCAAGCTGCACCTAATTCTAAAACCAAGACTTCTTGTTCAGACACACATGACTGACAACATCAGAAACTTCGCAGGTATTGATAATTTTATTTTTTATTAAGCAGGCTTTTTCTTGAGTTATATCTTTTAACAGCCGCAACCACATACAACATTATATAAGATACCTAAAGAAATTGTTTATTCCTGATATGAGAAGTGAAAACAAGTATTACATTGTGTTCTATCATCCCTAAGGTAAACAAAATCTTAGTAATTCAAAAGCTGCTGTAAATAACTATGCATGACATGTATTACAGAGCCCAAATGCCTTCCTAGAACATCATCCGTTTACCATGTTATTCTGTGGAACTCATTTGAGTGCTAGTAACAAGTAACTACCATGCAGCCTTACCTTCAGTGAACTGTAAATACTGTGCTATTACATTCCTTATAGCTCCATCTACCAGAAGCAATCTCTTCATAATAGGCCACTGAGGTACAGCCCCAAGTAGAGACTGCACTCTCTCCAGATGCAGGATTCTGCAATCAAAAGAGGTAGAGCACAGATATATTGTGTACTACAACCAAAAACGTAAAGTTGCTGAAAAATTATGGGATTTGTTGTTGTTGTTGTGCAGTCACTATATCATCTACTTCCTATTTTCATACAACAGCAGCAGTACAGCAGTTTCCTTTTATATATAAAAAAACAACCAAATTCCAGAACGTACTACTAAATTATTGCACAACTTGACTGTAGTCTTTCTCTTTACAGTAAATAATAGATTTTATCTATTATCAGTTATCCCTCAGATGTCAATTTGTATAGCATGGGTCATATCTCCTCCAATGACAGGCAGTTTTTGATATGAGCAAGTAGAACATTGTAACTCTCAAAGGTGATGCAGGTCAACCAATGTGCTGTTGGAAAGAGAGAAGTATCATTTCCTGTCCTTTGCCACAGACTTTTTGTGAGAGTCTGCCAACTCTGACAAACATTAGCTCCCTGTATCTACAACTTTCGTCCTTTGTAGAACATTCCGTATAATTTATAACAAGTCTTTTTTTTCCTTCTTTTTTTCCTTTTTTTTTCTTTTTTATTAACCGATAGGGAAACAGATCTCAAACTACTTTATTTTGCATAAATCACCCAGAACAATTGTCTTGGTTGTATTTTATATCCCATGCTGTGAATCAGAATACCTGAAATTAAAGCCCAGGCAATCTTTACAAGTTTGTAGTTGCACTTGTCCTTAAATGGGAATTGAAGGCAAATGGGAAATTGCACCCAAATAGATTCCTACTAGATTAGTGACCAACTGCTAAAAGAATAGCTCTATTGTACAAGAAGATTTGAACTGCTTCAACAAAACAAATCATTCTGATTATGTACAGAACTTAGAGCCATATCGTCACATAAACTCACATTTCCATTAAATAATGAGCCAAAGAGGGAAGTTGAAACTCTAAATGTTCAAAAACATTAAAAGAAACCTTAGTCTCAGAGTGCCCTAGAGAAGATTGGAAACTACATATACACATGTAGAATTACAGCGTATTTCTGTTCTCCATAGTGGGCTTCTGCTCAGAGATCTCCTGCATAAACTAACATGAGTATGACTCGTATAACAAAAGTAAAACAAAATTTAGATGCGCTGAACTTGTTGTACATGAGCAGATTGATCTTATAGCGTGCATGAAGCATCACCAGGTCACAGTAACTCCTTGTGGGAATTTGACTTTGTTTGCAGAATAAGAAATATTTCAGGTCCTAGTTCAAAAAGCTCAATTATACACACCTGCTGACTCCTATTGCTCCTGCTCAGGTCCTGTGCTGAATCTATAAGTAGTTATACTCTGAATCACAGATTTAATTTCTTTTTCAAAATGTGTACACATCAGCACAATTATTTGACTGTATATGAGATTCTGAATTACACAATAAAAAATAGAAAAAAACATAAAAAAAACAGAAATCAATTAAATGTAGTGTGAAAATAAATATACAAATTGATCTGAAATTTATAAAGGTAAGTTGTAGGAAGATTACTCACAGATCACGAGTTGCGGTATATCCTTCTGAAAAATAAGCATCTGATTTCTCATTCCATTGCTGGATCAAGGTATTAATCTCTGAAAAAAGTTTCCCGGGTTCCCTGTTGTCTAGAAACTCAGACATTATATCAGCTATGATTCTTTCAAGTTCCAAAAGGAGTTTCTGAGAGAGCCTGCTGCTTTTTTTGAACCACTGCTCAAATACCTAGCAGAACGAATGAAAACCAGAACATGTTGTGAAGGAATCAAAGCTTTCTTATGTAGAAAATATACAGAATTTGCATATATTTAGAGAAAAAGAAAACAACACACAATTAGCAATGTATCTAGAATCTGAATTGACTGTCCTCACACAGGCTGATTTTCAAAACAGTTTGGGCTGACTGGTGAGCTGGCAATATGAGATGCTGCATCATACAGCGAACTAACACCCTGTGCTGTGCTGTCCTCACCCATAGACCCAGGAATGGTAAAAAGACTTCCTCAGACTGGAACCAGCCAAAAGCAGACCACCACAGTCAATTACTTAGGCTTGCTTTTGCTTACAGTACTTCTGCCTATGCTACCAACACAATGGAAGGCAGCAGCCTCAATTTTTGGGGGGTCTCATTACACAAAGAGATGGAGAAGGAGCCTGCATGCTCTCATGTCACGTAGTCTAGAACAAGGCATAACAAGGCATACCAAACCTACTGACTGCTTTCCCTTCCTCCACCACTATGGGTTTTTATGTCAACTGGTTATAACAAATTTTTACTATATGAGATTTCTGCTCATCAAGAGAATTCTCAGCGGCCAGCAGCTTACAGTACTTCAGGTTACAATCATAAGGTTGTCAGCTCTTGCTAAGAGTTGTTTTAAAACCATGGCTGAAATTACTACCAGATTTTTCTACAGCTACAATAGGAATTAACGTATTAGTTTTGGCAATCACATTAAATCATTACTTCAAGTCATCATACAACAGTGAAACACTGCAAACATCTACAGAGAAGGTTGACACACAGCTGATATTATTTTAGGGGGGGAAAAAAAAATAAAAAGTCTTTCAGTGGAAAAATGTTAAGGGAGCCTGGTAAGTGTTTTTCCTTAGGAAATATCTGAACAGTTTATCTTTTTCTCTATGCAACCACACATATGTCATCACAGAAACTGCATACCAAGCTGTTCTGCTGGAACTTTAAGATGTTATACTGGAGATTTACTCTTATCCCCTTCAACATGTTCTAGCCACTGTTGTCAGAGGTAGTGGAGGGGAATTAAAAACAAATTGATTATATGCTATATGAGTGGAGGCCTGTAGTCTGCTTTCTGTTTTGCTGAAAATTCAAGTTGAGGTGTGACAGTGAATGGATTTTCCTCATCAGGCCTACACAGTGCAGTATATTTCACTGTATTCCTTATTAGATTTCAAATCTGTATTCAACTTAATAAGAAAATCTGATTAAGTGGACACATGGTGATAGATTATACTTCTACTGTAACAATTCTGTATAAGGATTAATTTTTCTCGTTAGCATGATGAAAAAAGTTCAAGACAATAACATTTAACAGATAAATCTTGTAACTGAGTTACTGTTGATAGCCTACACGCAAAAATTAGGAATTTAATTTATTAATTTATTAAAGTGTACCTGTGCATAGAGTCTGAGCTTGCTGACAGCATGAACAAGATACAGTTTGGCCTCAGAAATGCAGCTCTCTTCATTATTCTCTTTGTTTGCTTCCTCTTCTGGCACACTGGACAGAGCAGAGCACACCAACTGCTCCAGTGTCTCTTCTGTGGGAATCTGGCAGGGACATAAGAAATTGATGAGTGTCTCAAGAGAGCTGCTGAGTGACCTCTCTACTATCAGCTTACTTATCTGGTGAAAAAATAATATCATATTGACTCCTTCAGTGAGAACAAAGCCCATTTAATCCAGCCTCATATTCTGGGGCACATACTTCAAAGTACTCCACATGCAGGTGCTGTGTAAAATATCAAGGGAGCCACCAGAGTACTCACACAGCAGGAAGGATGATGAGACCTGTATGTGCAAGGAATTTTCACCATGTCCCTACACCAGAGTTGCTACTTCTACAGTCATTTGCAGGCCTATCCTGAACTAACTTGGCAATGCTACAGTACACCTATGCTAGAATTTTGCACTAGAATACCCGTATCGAAGCAACTTCACGAGCATAAAGATTACTGATGTAAAAAGCATTCAGTACGATGGATATATCTCAACCAACGGCTGCATGCAGCAGACCAGTTTCAAATTGAAGTTGGCAGGTTTCAGCACTGTGGCCTAGACTTCTAAATTTCATGTTGAAACATCTATTATTCCCAATCATACAAATATAATTAAAGCATACAAAAATAATTTAGCACATTCTAATTCTTCCTGTTAATGTCTTTCTGAGACACTTGACATTCTAACTCCTTTCAACTGTGAATAGAACATTTAGTAAACGTTTTGCAGATGTTTTAACAACAAACAAGTTGGGGAATTAGATAAAGAATTGAAGTGCTCATAACAGAAATTGTCTGGGCTTGCATATTTCCTTTCATACTTTTTGAGTCTCTTCAATGACCTAACACAAACACATGATATCAAGACGGACTGTACCTGGCAAAGAACAGACAAATTCAGATAAATACCAACACACTGCGCTCAAAAACTGTGGACTTTAGGAGAAATTGAAAGATATTTCAAGTCTCCTGGAGTTCAAATCAGACCATCACAACAGATCGCTTTGGTCTAGAAGATAGAGTGACCTCTCTGAGATTTTCTTCAAGATTTGGCACATCACCAGTATATTTTAATAGCTCTGCTGAGACATAAAGTCAAATATATTCATATCAAGACCAAACAACTGAGGAAAAAGGAGTCTTGATGTGCCTTTATTTTGGGTACAGAAGAGACAGGCATTCTTCTGTTCAGCAAAATAGATGAAAAATGCTACCTGCCAAATTAATCCAGGCAGTTTCAAATCTAGGATTCAGTTTAAAAGCTTAGTGGAGCAAACCCCAGGATTCTCTACCAGACTGCATAATAAACTACAGTCTTTGCCATACTCGGTTGTGCCTTCAGAGAAGCATAAATTCATTAATGTACACAACTAGACCTATCAGCATCTTCATGTGTAGAAATTTCAGCTGAAGCTAAATATATTTTGATGGGAATGAAGTCAGGATATTTAGCAGTCTTGTAACCGCCTGGCAGATCTAAGACTGTAGCTTCTGTAAGGCATGAAAAATCCTTTCAGTGTACAAATAAAAACAAAAATGAAAGAGATGGACACTGAAATTTTCAAATGATTTACCTTCATTAACTGTGCTGTATAATTTAGTAACTTCTCAACATGCAAATCATCAAAATCAAACCTGGATTCAAGTTCTGCTCTCACAGCATGTGGATTCCGCAAAACATCCCCAAGAGAAAGATTATACTGAAAGCCTGAAAGGAAGAAAACCTGTTAACATTATTCCTGCATTTTTGTTCAGTTTGTTTCTTGATGATTCATACTTGATGAGATCCAACTACTGCGTTTACCACGTTTTGAAGAAAAAAGTAATAAATGTAAGTATGCACCTGAACATCAGTTTCACTAGGACAAAATAGATGACTGCATTAATAGTATGGCAAGGACACCTAATCTGACAGTATTCTGACAGTTGATGAGATATCCCTGCACAGTGACTGCCAGCAGACCTGATAGGGTGCCATTCCAAACCATGTGTCTAATTCTGCACATAGCCATGCAAATGCTGGGGGCGGGGGGCTGGATACGAATCACTGCTGAGAGTGAGAGCACCAGGAGAATACCAGAAGACCCAGGGAACTCAAGTTCACCCTCCATGCAAAGGCTCCAGCTTATCACCTTCATTGACACTTCAGTCTTCATTTTGACAGGTGAAGTGGGATTTAGATCACATATAATTCTTGGCCTGATTTTCCAAGCAGAGCAGACAGCTGCACCTAAAATCTAATCATTCATGTCCAAAACAAGAGTCTATCCTTCTGTCAACTGGAAGAAATTGTCTGCTGTAATGATTTAGTGCCTCTCCAAAATTCACCACGGAAAGATGTTTCTAAACACAATACATTAGACCATTGTGTTTCATCAAATAGTTGCCAGTCTGACAAAATTTAGTTATTAGTATTTAAAAAACAGATCAATAAAGAAACAGTTTCTCACTACAGTTCAATACTTAAGACGTTTTACATTAGGAATTTAGCAGAAGCTCAGGCAGTTACTTCTATTACATATTCCCAGCATGCTTATCAGAAACTTCAAAGAAAATCTTAAATTCCTTACCTTGTGAGCTCCTATCCTGTACTGATACAGCAGTTAAATTAAGTGCTGTTTTCACCACTTCATAGAAATTCTGGCCCAATGGCATTATTGCTAAATCCTTCAATGATGCTAAGATACTGAAAGTGGAAAAAAAAAAAAAACACCAAACATCAAGCTCTCTATACAACCAGGAAAACTGAAAGGGCTTTGTGAAATAAGTAATATTCAGGCAAATGAATTTTTGAAAAACATATTTATTTTTGAAAAACATATTTTGTCAAATTAAACTTCAAGAAACTGAGCACTGGTGTTTGTGGCTTGCTTTCCAAATTGCAATAATCCCAAAGCACATGACAAAGTTCAAAGTCATATTATGTGATGGGCTAATTTCAGCCATTGCTAACATGAAGCTACTTCTTGGACATTCGCAGGGAATCTCTGCTGAGTTTGACAGATGAAAAATAAAGTTATGAAGGAATCTGAATGGGTGAAAATTCCTACCACACCTCTACAAAAGAAAAAATTTAGTAAATAGAAGAAAAAAATCAGCCTCTTCACACTGTTAAGAATGCTTATTTTATTAAATAGCCAGTGAGAAGAACAAGAATTGCAGGTAAAATATTAGAACAGATCACTTTCAAGAATGTAAAATTACTTACTTCTGAATGACTTTTAGAAACTGTGCTATGGCAGCTAACTCATCTTCTGTATGAAAGCTGTATGATTCAAGATGAGGGAGTGAATGCAGAAGGTTCCAGAAATACGGTTGCTTGTACAGGTTTTCTGCTTTCGTAATCATTTCTTCCACTTCATTCAAATCCATCTTTATGTGAAGGAAGTACATGTCCATTAACAGAAGAAAAAAATAGCAGGTTCCTGTTATTTTCACCACCCCTGACTTCTGGTATTTTAAACCATTTAAAATATTTTTTTCCAAGCAGAAACACAACTTTGCTTTCAGTAATGCAGTACATCGTTTTGGTGGTGCTTTGAACTTATGGCAGCTTTGTTTCAGACATCTTTTTCTGTTCTGATGGAAAATGGAGCTGGGAAAAAAGCTAAGCAATCAATCTCTTTCTGCTTAGAAATGTAACTCTTTCCTAAAGAGATGGATCACCTTTGAGATCTCAAACACAAGGAGCTCTTTAGCCCTGCAATGAATTTCTAAGTCTAGGGTATAAAAGGAACTGCCAGGGACATTCTATCCTTGGCTCACAGCTCCTTGGAGGGGGCGAGGGTGATGTCAAATAATAATAGATAAGAAAGGCTCTTTAAAGATTAACTGACTGGGGTAAAAACACTTCTTTTGTCGGATTACACTATCAGATGCCTATGCAAAACATATGATCTATCATACTTATTATTTAGTTTTTGTTTCTCTAATGTTTCACTAGAGTTCTTCTGAATAACAGTAACACTACTATGGTTTATAAGAAAAGAAGCTTGTGTATCCAAGCTATTACTAATAATTATAGGCTACTTTCGACTACATATTTTCTTAATGCTGATAGAATATTTCTATTTTATGTTCCATTCCCGAAATGAAATTTCACATTGATACAGCTCCTTTCAACCAAGTATCTCACAAGCAATTTAAAAATGTTACTATAAAAATTCCACCTAATGTCAAGTTATGAATTGGAAATCTAGGTTTCATGAAGCAGCAGTCAAAATCAAATAGGGAAAAGTTAATTTTAAAATAATTTTTTTAGTGAAACCAGTGATCTGTGAAAGGTATAGTAATGGACAGTAATGGAGATCCACTACTGTGCCCATTCAGCCTTCTTTTGGCTGAGATTGCAAGGGTGAAACACTAATGCATTAGGGACAGCACAACCTTGTTTCACATAAACTGCCAGAGATTCTGGAAGGAATTATGCTACATCATGCAAATCCATCTTCGTTCATCCCCTCTCAAGTCTGATTGCCATATTCGCTGGATCAAAAATCTGAATTCAAAATAATCTAACCCAAGGAAAAAATCTAATCTTTTCAATCTCACTACAGTCCCTTCAGTTTTGGGGTTTTGTTTGGTGTTTTTATGGGGTTTTTTAGTTTGTATGGGGGGCTTTTTGGAGGGTGAGGTGGACTGGGAGTTGGGATTTTGTTGCTGCTTTTTGCTGGGACTTTTGTTTTATCCTGATGTGTACTTCTTAGAGTTCCTTGCAGAACATTTTATAATACAGTTTTAGACAGCAACACAAGGTCTAGCAGATGCACTTTTAAATTGCTCCTGATGAACAATTAGCTTTCAAATGGCTGAGGATTTTAGCTACTAACCACCTAGACTGGTTTAGAACAGTAAATCACTGAAACACTATCAAATTTACAAGACATGATTATTTGCTTCAACAGCATACCATTTTATTTTTTTTAAGATAGTGTACTAGAACTTGACAGGATACAAATATCTAACCGTTAAAATAAAGATGCCTTAAAATCCAAAACTGTAATTTAGAAATAGACTAGAAAAATACTTACATTAAGAAAAGTGGTGATGTTATGCAGCCCTGTAAAATCAAATATTTTCCTTTACAGAGAAGCATTATTAACTTCAGAAGAATCAATTTTATAAGCAACAGCAAGCAGTACACAAAGGGCGTTTCTACAAGAATAAAGGCAGGTGAAACAACTAATACCCTAGAAAGATAGTGATCCATTTCTTTTTCTGTGCTTCCCAATACTTTTACTATTATCACAAAAACAACTTATAAGAAATGGCTCACCATTTACTTTTCAGTAACGTGAAATCGTCACATCAACAATAGATGAACATACTAACTCCCAGACAACCAGGCATGAAAATAAGTTTTACCTAAATCTTTCTGCTTGAAAACTCAGCCAGAAAATGCAGGGTAGTAGCAGGTCTTAAATGCCCACCTGCCACAGCAGCAAGGCCATGCACTATTGGTGGGAACAGACAGGGAGCATCAGACCTTGGTGTTTCCAGTCTTGCTCCTAAGTGTGAGACTGACTTTTTTGCCTAAAGGTCACCAAGTGTGAGCTACTGAGGTTTTTCATACCTATACTCTAGTACAAGAGAAAAAGCTAGGGAGAAAGTCTTGAATCCACTAAAAAGTTACTTCCGAATGTATGTTAGACCAAGTAGCCATCTACTCTTTGCCCTCATAGTATTTTGTCAATTATCAAGTAGTAAAACAAGGGCACACATTTAGAAAGCTGACTTCTTTCTCATAATTTTATGACAGCCACAATAATAGTAATCATAAACATGGCTTTTTTCAGATCAGCTAAAATTTTAGTTTGTTCTTTTTATTTTTAAGGTAAGACTATTCCTTTGTTTGATGATTTTCACTACCTGATAGACAAAGCAATTCATTATCAGAAAGATCATAGCTTACCTGAGAACTTCGAGTTTTCCTCCCATAGCTTTTCTAAAGCCATGGCTTTCTCTGTGGCCTCAATAAATCCGTTTGCAAGTTCTTCTATTTCTTTCATGAAGTCTAGATCAAGTCCTGTGAATTTCTCCGGACCCCTTTCAATGCCTGCAGTACTTCTTCACAGAAAGAAATGGAACAGGGGAGGTAATTACAAGCTGAAAGCAAGTAGCTGAAAACCACATATATACTCACAGCAATATTCTGATTTTTTATTTACACAACTTTTATTTGGTTCATTAGCATGCGAGTTACAGGACTGAGTCCCAAAACCTCAGGAAAGAGAATGATGAAAAATTGCTGAGCTAGATCTGCTCACCTACACCAGTAGCCCAATTCTGGCAGCAGCCAAACACAGACACAACCTAAGAAGTCTTTGATGTTTCTAAACACATTGAACTTTTCTCCCTTAGTCCATTATGAGTCCAGGTAATGGTTCTTTGATGACCTGTACCCTGAAGTTCAAGCTTTCCTATTTCATCTAAGTCGACATTGCATACAGAACAGGTAAATTGGTCCATGTGACCGGATGAAATATAGGTACATCCCTTCTTCTTGGTCCTGAAGAAAGTTGCTGTTTTCTCTTTAGTTAGTTTACTAAGCAATAGAACTTTGCTAACAATTCCATCACCTTTAACAGACATCAGCACTAACAGCCACATGCAAAGTCCAGATGACGCGCTCTTCAAGGTACCCTTCTACTTGATAAGCCGAAGTGTGGTGTCTCTGGCTACATAGTTTTGCCTTATGCTGACTCACACACAAAGTATTTGTTGTTAGGAAAAACTATACAGCTTGTATTTGGGATATTACAAATTGTTTTTTCAAATATATGTAATTGAATGCCTGTTTTCAGCCAAAATGGAAATAAATCAATAAAAGTTGTCACTACTGTTTCCCCCCGATTTTACTGTACACAACTAAACTTCTGGTACATGTTATCTCTACTATCTCTATCATACTACCATCTGGTGGCTACTCAATAGTACAACATATTTCTAACAAATTTAAGATTAAATCAGAAGACTCATTTAAACATCTCTTTACAGGACAGATATTCCTATTATTCATTAGAAGCATAATTAACTCACAAAAGCCCAACATTCAAATATACAATCGAGAGTTACATTCCTTTCTCGTCGAACGTGTGTTAGCACTAGTTTTCAGCACAATTCTTACTTTTTGGTAAAGAAAAACCTAATGACACAGATTTGCAAACCAAATCATGAACATCAGCTGCTGCTTTCCAATTCTTTCATTTCTTTCTCTCTCTCCCCGATTCTCATTAGTTCAGACAGCCACAGATCTGCCTGCAACTTTAGACTACGGGATAAGAAGTAAAATTAATCTTAAAACAATGAAGTTCTTGATTATTTCGGAGCAGCTTGTTTTGATCCCAACTTGGCTGATGGCCAGTAGGCTTTCTGGAAAACTCTTTCACCAGCCTCAAACTTCAATGGATTAAAGGTGGAACAATTCCTCACACTTTTTTTTTTTTTTTCCTTTTAAATGGAGCTTTAAAAAGGAAATTTCTGTTGTTCAGAGGGCGACTCTCAGAATGATCAATATCTGTACTTTAACTATTGCTTTTGAAAACTAAATTCCAATATTACTAGCACACCTACTGCCTGAAATTTTGGACAGCTAGGAACACTAGTACTTGGCAAAGAACAGGAACATGCTGAAAACTTTCTAGCACAGTGCTTTTTGAGCAAGCAGCCAGTGCTTGACCAGAATAAAAACAGCAACATTGGTTAAAACACAAATCCAGACAGAACTTTAAGAAAAACAATGCTGTAGTTCAGTTTTCACAGAATTTTCTACTTTTTGTTTTCAGAATACTTGAACTTTCAGTTGGCAACTCAGCTCACAAAGCAAGGTCAATTAAAATAATCACAAGTATTCAGAGAAGTGAGGCATAAAGGCAATATACCATCCCATATAATTTTCCCTCCAAACTAGACGTAAGCCTTGCATCCCCGTGTACAATCTCTACTGCAAACAATAATGCTCGGGAGAAAAATAACACTTTTACCTACATACAAGCATATGGTTGGGCTCAACGCTGCCTCCAAGGCTGTTGGTACTGCTCAGCCTCCCTGCCAGCAGCAGGTTGCACAGCTAACAGTGACAGGAGCCATCAGTAACTCCTTCAGCTCTACCCCCATCGCTGACTCTGCTGTACCTTGGATTTGCAACCCTTGGGTTGATAAAGAGCAGGGGGACAGAAAAACCCTCTTGGCATCCAATTTTATGTGCTATAGCCACCTGTTTGGTATACAGCAAAAAACACACCCGGTAATGCAGGGTAGATTGTGTGAACAATAACCATTTCTGTTATTCTGAATCTCTTGTGAGTAGCTGCAGCCCAGAAAGCATTTGGCTTCGCACTGCAGGAGCAGAGCACGCAGCAGTTCTTGGAGCAGGTAAGGAGCAAATGTAATGGATAAGGAGAGTCTGTTTAGCAATAGCTTTTCAAACAAGAGGGAAACCAAACTCCTCCTCTCTGTAATTTGAGCAAGGAAAAATGTTGTCTGCTCTTTACCATGTAGTTTCAAAATGTTCTGTTGATAACTGTAAAGCTTCCTTTGAACTGTGAAACTGCATGAAAGGCTTCAGGCTATGCTGCCCTAGACACTGTTCAAGACAGCAGCGGCCTGCTTAGCCCTCCTGCTCCATCCTTTGCCCAGGCAGGACAACAAGCTCTGTCCATGCAGTGTCTCCAGGCTTGAAGGCTGGGGGGACAAGCCACTGCCCCGCAAGGGGTCCCACAGAGTACACAGCAGGGGGACTGGGGAAGCACAGACTAGAAGCATTAAAGAAAATGCTGGCAGAGCTTGGAGTGTTGTGACTCTTAGAAGATCCAGTTAGAAGTGCCCAGCAAAGAAAGTTGATGGTGAGACTGGAGAGGGAGCTCAGAAACAGTTAGGAGGGTGTAAATATTTAGGGTATGAAGGAAGGACCAAAAACCAGGCATAAAGTTCAGCTGTTCCAAAAGAGAAGGCAGCATGTGCAACCTGAAAAACTTACAGAACACCACACTTCCAAGCACAAGCCTCTCAGCAGGATGAGAGCAGCTGTTTGGAAGTGCTGTTTCTGAACCATTAGCTTTATGGGGATTTCCATATCAGGAGCAATTAGGCAGCTGCCACTTGTGCCCCTATTTTGCCATAATTTTCACAGCACATCCTCTGGTTGCTCTTGGAGTTGAGGACAACCTCCTTTGGAAGAGGAAATAGCAAAGGACATGATACTGGTTATCAGATTCGGTTTTATGAAACATTAAAATATAACAGAGGTTTTATTTGCTGAATATCTGTGCTAAATTTTAAAGGATTTTATATATTCTCATCATAATAGGGAATCATATTTATGTCCTAATAAGAAGAACACTCTGAGATGCTACTGGTTTCTTAATTCAGCAGAAATTACACAGAATTGCAGGAAGATGTCACCATCTTGCCACAAAGGTAGGAAACTAGACTTTAAAACCAGCTGTAGGGACACTCAAGACATGCAATTTTCAGACAGCGTGCCAACAAAAATACTTAAATATTGTACAGCTACTCTCTTAAAGAACCTTCACTGTGTACTTTCTGGAGTAGAATACAACATTAACTTGCATATATGCAAAGAAAGTCAACAGCAGCAATTGCTAGGAACAATGAAGAGGAGAAGCAAGAGAAGACAAAAAGGACAACAGGAGGAAGTCAGTAATTTCTAGGACATGATACACAGGATTAGAACTGAGATGTTAGAACAAAGTGTGTATATAGAGATACATATAATTTCATTATCATTTGTGGTAAAGCTTCCCTTAATTCTGCATTTCTAGAAATACTTCTATGAGGATAGAAATCAAACGGAATACATACATTCATATGAGTTTTGACCATGAAAAAACACTACAAAAGAGCAAAAAGACTCTGTATCTCTTTGAGTATACAAAAGCAACTGGCATTTCCTAAAGCCATGACTCAGAAACACTAATTCTGTCCAAAGGACTCAGTTACCTAGGATGACAATAAGAACATTTCAGAGCTCATCTGAAATCTCAGCTGCAATGCATAATGCCATTTACACTGGTGACTTTCATAAGCCTCTCAGCAAATTCTTGTCTCAGCCTCAGCCCTGTCAGCACATTAAAAATTTCTCTCTAAAACTGCAAAGACCCAGCTATGCTGGCTCCAGTTCTGCACCATCTCAGGGCAGCCTGGAGACATCACATCTCCATCAACACCAATACACATGCTGGACAACAGCTTACTGCATGTCTTTCACTGAATGATCATTTCCATCTATGTTGCATACTATTATAACCCTTCTGAAACACAATGGACCAGAAAAATATAAGGAACCAAAAAAGCATCACTCTTATTTGGCTATGAAATTCAGAAAATTCATGTTTAAAATTCCTTTTCTCCCTAATTTTCTGTCTATCTAGAAGCAAGATCACAAAAGTTGCTTAAGTTTTTGTTTAACAGCTACATAGCATAAGACTACAAAAGCTGGCCCTGACCACAGAAGGTCATTATTCTGATAAGTTGCTGCAGTTTTACATCCATCTCACAGATTTATTTCCTTTTTACTTGAAAGCACACATCATTAGTGAAAAATTTGACCCTCTAAGCAGTTCTTACATGAGTGTTACCATTGTTGATTAGAGCTTCCTTGATTTTGTTTTTTTCACGCTAGCTCTTCTGGACATGAGCTATTTTGATACCACTTCACTAGAGAACCACAGAGCCCCCAGTATCAGGAAAACCAATAACAGGAAAGGGACCAATGTGAGCAGGGCTGCTTCAGGACAGGGGGCCAAGCTAGGAGCTGAGACCATGCCCTTGTCAATGGGGCACCATCCCCTAGGATCCTAGTCATCAGACAGACCCAGAGGTCGGTCACAAGCTCCAGCAACAGCTCTAACGTGATGGGTTGAGCCCAGGAGTCCAGTCGGCTGCAACTGAGACAGAGCTACCACATGGCTCTGAGGGCCCATCTGTGGCTCTGAGACACCTACAGGGTGAGGCTGCTACTACTTGTAGCTAAATAAAGGGAAGTAAACTAATGTGCTTATAAATAACATTTTAGGATCTTGCTTTCATGATCTTTATAGTTTTGAGAAAATCCAAGTTTCATTTTCTTTTAGGTACTGAGAAGTCTAACCAACATAGACCTAGGCGTCTGAGCTGCAAGGACAAATCCCACCACATTCTGCACGACTTGCAGAGCAAGTAGTCTTATACTGGAAATACATGATGTTTCCATGCACATGCACTCTCATTTGTGGGTGTAAAGCCACGTGACACTGTACTGCAAGGGTTTTGTCTTATTTGCATGTTCTCAGTTGTACTCTGTACCTCCTTAAGATGAGATGTGGGGTGAAGAATTCTGGAAAGAGCAGGTAAAAATGTGCTTTGCCGCAGGAGCTCCTAAATATGCCTCCTGAAGAGGCTGAAGCGAGGAGCGGGAAGCAAAGCCTCAGAGCCGTTGAAAAATGAACACTTTCTGAGGCATCGGAGGAGATGGCAGAATTTGCTGCAAATCAAAGTTAATTGGGTTGTTGCAGCCTTCATCTGGCTCACTTTTCTGCCATGTCAGTGGCTGTTAATGGAGCCTGTTGCCTGAGGGGATGGTGTCATATCTGTGAGGGCATCCCTGCACCTGGATGACTTCAACCCCTGGCTCAGCCCCTCACACAGAGCAGCCTTGCTCAGGCTGCTTGCTGAAAAAATAGTTATTGGGGTTGTTTATGGCTTTCATAGTGAAGTTTCCAACAGAAGTCATAGAATTACTTTTTCCAAAAGACAATGATATTTCATAATGATAGCACCAATGTGGTACATACTGTGAAAACAAATGGGCTAAGTGTCCATGCAAACTATGCACAGTCCTTGATTTATCCTTAACAAACACAACACTGTGGACACAAAAATATCCCTGAAAATTATTATGAAGAATCCTCTATGGCTGGAAATAAATCCTCAAAGGGAAGATAATTGGTGTTAGTGTTCCTATGCCACCTCTTCTCTCCAGCCAACACAGGGACATTGTAGGATTCAGTTAGGTTTGGCTGATCAAGCTGACAGTCTATCCTCTTAAGGCTGTTGGCAGCCAGCATAAGTCAGAGCAGCCCTGAGGTTGATTTAATTCATGCTGACAGACCTGCTGGAATACACTGACCTCAGAATGAACTTCATCCTACCTTTTTACCCCTCTTCCTTACCTTGGCTATATACTACTCAGTGTAGCGTATTGAGTATATAAAAATGCGTATACGCACACATTTTTTTTTTCAGTTGAAAAACTGAAAGCCACTGAACAATTTCCCCGATTCTTAAGTAGGTCTAAGACTGCCTCTAGGAAATTGTTTCCTGCTTTTCTTTCGAGCTGAAATAGAATTTGGGCAGTTCAGTCAAAGCAGTGTAAATAATCATGCAGAGCAGTCAATATAGTTCATAGTTTCTAGAGCTTTAACACACTTAGATGGCATCTGGACTGATGATATAAATAAAATCTATTCCTTCAGAAAACTTTTCTTAAAAGGCCAACAGCTATTTTAACTGTATAAGCCAGTAATGTAGCATCGACACTGTACGTAACAGGCTACAGGATTTGTGCTGAGTTCGCAAGACCATGGCAGAGAGGCTTTGCCACATTTGCTTTGTCTGAATTTGTCTTAACATGTCTGCAGTTTTAGTTTTGACTTGGCTTATTTTAGCTTTCCTATTGTATTTTATTTTATTTTTTGATAGATGCGTATGGCCATTTGCTTTACTTTCACTTGTCATTGTACAATACTGCCATAGTTTTGTACAGATAGTAGTAACAACTGATCATTCAGTTCAAAATGACATATTTAAGATTAATATAGCAAAGCAGTGGAGAGGAACACAGACCGAGTACAATAGCAAAGGCCTTGAGATTTGGGGACATAGAATGTCTGTACTGGAGTACAGATCCAGTATAACAAGAGGTGGGGCAATGGCTGGCACTGAGGACCCGATGGCTATACACAGCTCACCAGCAGTCAGTGAAAATGCAGAACCACAGCCAGACAAAGTCAATTCAGAAGTACCAAGAAAACAGAAAGGGTGTCTACCAAAAGTAAAAGATACCATATACATTCATATGTACCATATCAATTCAGATGTATCACAGAGATGTATACCAGTGAAAAACAAGTAAGGTATAAAAACACATTAGCAAACATAACTGACTCCAAATGCCCCCTAGAGTGAAAAACAAGTCATCAACACCACATTCCTCCAAGCAAAGGGCTCTAGATGACAACTTGCCATAACACCACTACCAGACTGCAGCCACTGATCCACAACAGCAGGGGAAAGGTGAGCATAACCCCAAGCAAATGAGTAGAAATTAAGTGGTTGTATAACAATTTTAACTGTATTGTGATTGTTAGGAGAATTTTTGTTTAAAGATACTACTGTAATATCATTATTTCTACATAGAAGTATTTTGTGCAATAATAGATCTCGAATAATAATGATTTGTGGCTTAAATTTCAGTCCTGCTAACAAATTATGAATTTCTGTATAAGTCATTTGCCCATAAACAAGACCTATTTTGCATGGTCTTATGCTCAATCAATAGTTTTCTACATGTACAAACAACTATAACAGACTGTCTAGATCAAATGGCCTATTACTGTGATACTGAAGCTTCCCATTTGCTGCATGCTGGATTTATTGCTACCTATAAACCTCTACGGTAATAAACCACTAAAACTTGATGCTCTTCCACCCTTAACTGGCTCAAGCCTGTAAGATCTTTTTTAGCAGATATTAACAATTTTATAAGAATAGGTATATACACACATATCTTCTGATTAGCTAACCTTAATTTGGCTTTATTGTTATGTATTTCAACAGGTTTCTTATGACTACATCCTTCAGCCAATCTGCATAAGTGTCTTTGCATCTCAATGTTTCCAACATTTTGAAGTAGATTACTTTACTAAATTTCTTAACGAAAGCCCAAACTCAACTTCATCTTTTTTCTTTCTGCGTTCCGGGATCTGTGACTAGGCCCTCTCATAAATTACTTTTTCAAATTCCTTTTGTTACAGAGCTTCTGCTAATCCTCCTTTCGGGCTCCTTGTGGATCTTACTCAAGAGTTATCCATTTTTTGCTTTTATGTGTTCACTTCTCTCACCATGTATACTACCACACTATTCAAAGTTTAAATCTATGTATGATATACTTTTTGTTGCTCAGTCTCATCATCATGTAACAAAAGATTTTTCTAGTGAATGATAAGTGTGTGCAATCACATGGCAGCAGTGAAGGGCAAGAATACCACAAGGTACCTCTCCAATTTTCCCACAAAACAGTTTTCACTATCTAATAACAGCATGAAATGCCCAAGAAAAATGAAGAAAAATTAGGAAGAGGCATGACTAAGGCCCTACATCTTTTGCATTCGTAAGGAGACTGAATTAAGAATTTAGAATAACAAAGCTGACAGCTCTGGCAAATTCCTGTAACTTACTGTAAGCGGTTGTTTTTCTGCGTTGTGTAACTAGTATTCTTGCATCTTGAACCAACATTACAGAAAAGGGTCCTCATGAAAGGATAAAGGCCTCGACTTGGTAAATCCCGAGCTTCTAAGTAACCTAAAACCAAGCATTGGAGGAGTTAGTGCAGATTTGTAACTGCAGTGTCAGCGTTATCTCATTGTATTCCCTTCACCTAGAAAGTGGCTTTGTCACCAACAAACTATCGATGGCAAGCATCCCATTTAAGAACAATTCATTCACCACAGAAAAGTAATAACTTCTGTGTCAGACTTCGGCAACAGGATATAACCTTTCAGAGCTGTCTTTGAAAAGCTGATTATCATGGTAGTATCACTGTTGCAACATCACAGGCTTGCTAGCCTCTCTGCCCAAAATGACTTGTCACCTAGATTACAGTATAGGTATAGACTGCTTCACAAAATAGTATGTTCTCTTTTCTCCCAGGCTTTCATGAGGTGAAGGAACTGGTATTCACCATTTTATGAATGTACTTCCATCAAGACTGTCTAAACAGCAACTTTTCAATATCTCTGGAATTTATCCATATCTCTCCATAGCACTGAGAATCCACACGTCAAAATATAAAACAATTTTACTTGTTTTGAAACATAAGGAGTAGCTATAGAATTCCTATTCAACTTCACTTCTCTGTTTAAAACAGCTAAAATTGAAGAATACTTGAAAGGTCCTTCCCCTCGTGCTCCGGATAACCTTCTTTTGGCAACCGTTACATCAAAATTGAGGAAATAAAATGAGGAGGAGATAAGGAAATTAGCATTTGGACTTCTGCTCTTAATGAATATTCAAAATTGAAAGATGCAAAAATGAGGAATTTACAATATGTACATGTACCAGCAGAAATTGCATTGTTAGTCAAACAATCCTTCATTCCTCAGTAACTATACCTGATGTATAAAATAGTGAATTTTGTTGTGAATGACCAGTGCCTTTTGCAGTTGAATTACTTTTACTTAGGACACTCCAGTATATATTGTAGGAAGCTCTCTGAGCTTGCACACTGGACCCCTTTCTGCTAAAACAAAGCAGAAGATGTACTCCAAGCGCACAAAAAAAACAATTGGCATATATTGCATCCTTGGGTCCACGCTAGAGAGAGTGTAAAGTAAATTTATATAGTGCAGGCTAGATCCTCTCCAGAGTTATAACTGTTTTACCAAGTTGGTTTCTAAGGTTTATCCTCAGCTTACTGACATCTGTGAATAACAGAATAATAAACTCTAGTATCACAAATCATTCTTTCCTGAACGAAGCTAATGCTTGACAAGTGAAAAGTGAAAAGAACTTTATCAGGTGGAGGTAGTCATTGCAAATTTTAAAGTGCTTCTAGAAATGGAAGAATTTATTATTTACAAAGTGTTCATTCTGAATCTCATGAAGTTGGTAAGGGTAAAATTCATCTCGAACTTAATATCTACTGCATAATTATCTCCCTCTGACTCCATGATCTAAACTCCATTACACAGTAGAAAGAAAGAAGTAAAATTAAAACCCAAGCAATACACCTTAGTCCAAAGCAGACGTCAAAAACTGGTCTGACAAATCAGACCTTGAACTTTTTGGTTTTTTCTGAACTGAATATGACTTGCTCAGATCCACAGCTAGACAAGACTGAATTCCATTGTAGGATTTTTTCGATTGACTCCACTATATTTAAGTAATCCCATTCTAGAACACCTTTAATATTTCCTCAATACTTCTACAAGCAAAGACAACCAAAATAGAACACAGGTGAAACAAAACATACAGTTTTCCTTGTGTTTGGGGGGCTCTTGGAAGCGGATTGCAGCCAGAATTAAGAAAAGCATACACGGCCAGACTATTTCAGTGAGAGACAGGACCTGGAAAGGGAAATCGAAATATCATCAGTAATACAGAAAACAGGACTTGGGAATAAATCATTACAATTCAATATAACTTCTAATTAAAAAAAAATATTAAAGATGACCTCTACAACTGCTTAAGAGAAACTAAGATCATTAAAAGCAAATTAGTACCTAAGACTTCCATTTAAAAACCTCGTAACTTCACCAAATACATTGCTTTCAGAATACAACAGTAGGTCTGACTTCTTCTATTCATAGTGTTTCTGGATATTTCCCTATGGCCAACCCAGTAACTCTGACAATACGATGACAGTGATATTCAGCTTTCCCACACCTAAGCCTCCTAAGAAGGCAGCAGCATCCTGCACCTTGCTGCACCTCCTCATGCTCCCCTGAAGCCTGCTGTCCCCTCCTTGCTCAGCAGCATACCTCCTTGTCCTTCCCTGGCTCCCTGACTCTTGCAATTTGTACCCTTTCTTTCACCTTCAGTCACCTTTCTCCAAAATCTGCCTTTGTCACCTCCATCAGCAGGACTGTTAGAAAAATACTTGAGAAAAGCAACATAATGCGTAAGAATAAAATCCTGTGGAGAAGGGCCTCTTCTGCTGAGCAGGACGCAAGAAATGAAAGACTTCCTGAAATTTAGGGAAATTGCCATTTATCTAAGCTGGACATGCTCCAAACCCAACAGAAGCCAAGCAAAAAGAACGTGAGACCTGGTGCTTTCAAAATTTTAGGGAGCAGCAAGGGAGGCTGCAAGGGTCACCGCTCCCAGGAGGGTAGGGTCCTCTCCAGCCAGGGAACCAGTCCCACAGCACCCCCGAGGTGAGCTGGGCATTCCCAGCCGCTGCAGCCAGCCTCAGACAGAAGTCCAGATCCTCAGATGAGGTCACAGTGATGAGGCAGAACCATGATTCAGCCAAGCCCAAGAGCCAAGTTGGGTAGTGGTGCTCCTCAGGCTTCACCCTAACAGGAGCTGATATCCCAGAAGGCCCTTTTGAGCAGAGCTTTGGGCCCAGGTGGAGCTGGTCAGGGCCATTAAGGCTCAGCAGCGCTCCTTGGCACATTCTTCCTCACACCTCCCATCTTGTTGTGGAGTGGTATTGTTACTGCAAGGCATCAGTTGGCTATTTTTAGGGGGACAAGGGAGTGGAGCCAGGTACAGCAGATAAGTAGTATTGCTGTATAAGGTATATTTGTGTCCAAATACAAAAGGCACCAGCCGAAGAAGGTCCAAAGAAAAGGGATTCTAAAGATGGCAGCCCTAGCACAGGTGCTTTGCCCAGAAACTGAGGGGAACAGAAGTCTGAGAACTCATGCCATGCTGGCAAATTGTCCCTTGGAAGAATGGAGAATACAGTAATGGAGCTTTAGGATCTGTCTGATAAAAGCAGACAATTTTGTAATCGTTCACTGAGTTATTTGTTTGTTTTTTAGTTTTTGCGCTGATGCAGAAACATATACGTTAAAAATAGAGGGCACTTGGCAATAAGCAACTTTTAGTGATGTTTATATCTCTTATAGTGTAGAAGGAAGGAGCGTGAACTGTAAAGGACAGAAGCAGGGCAAAGATGACATTCAGTGTAGGTGCAGGTGAAGAGGAAGAATTATACTAGCATTTTACCCCATGCTTAACATTAATCCAAAATGAAAATTATTAATAATAACAGCTTTTATAAAAATGCATTGCTTTAGGTTAGGCTATGTTTCTGTTTTCTCCTAACAGCCCTGTTAGCAACTACTCACTCCAAGCATTTCATAATATAATTCTAATTCCATTTCTCCTCTAAATTAGGATATGTGAGTGACAGAATTTGGGAATCACTTTCATCCTTTAATTAGCTGCACATTTTTATGGTAATAAATACTGTATAAAAAGTAACCAAGAAATGCAGTGATCAAAAACTTAAGCAATACAGTTTCCTGGTAGTATGCATCTCCTGAGCTTCCACAATCTGTAGTTCAGAAGCAAAGGCTTCTGAAAGCAGAAATGAGAAGGTATCTTCTACACCATTGCAATTTCAAACCCCAGCTGTCGTCCAAAGGTACATATTATCCCGTGCTGCCTTTGAACCACGTTAGTAAGAGGCACTGATGCCTGTTTGAATTTCCCTCAATAGCTACTCTTTACAGAACACTTACATCTTCCACAGTCCTTTCACCCTTCTCTGTGTAACATCAACTAATGCCACATGACACCCCTGGCACATTGTTAGTTCAACAGACCACACTTGTCTTCTAGCCCTGGCTGCTGACAAATAACCATGAGAAAGCAAGTGCCTTCTACAGACAGATCTGCACAACGTAGTACTGTAGTGCTGAAGCACATCAGATCTGTCAGGAGATCCTTCTTTCTTCAGGTTCACACAGGTCTGACTGGCCCTTTGCAGAGGCAGACAACCCACCTGGATTTCTCCTTGCGTAACTGCAGATAGAGCTCCTTCATGGATCAGGGTTCACACAAAGAGCACATAAGGAGGTTTTGCAAATGCTCTGGGGTAGTTCCTGGCTCTGACAGGCAAAATCTAGTCTGTTTTGGGTCATTCATTGTAATTTGGGCAAGTCTGCACCTCAGAGAGTTCTCTATTCAGGAAATCTACCCATCAGAGAAACTTAAAACTTAGATGAATGAAGATTTTGTCATTCAAAAATATGTGAGAGGGAAAACTAGACAGAGCAAGAAGATAAATGGATCAGCATGAAGCAGAACAGAAGGTACTGAGAAGCTACTTAATGCACACTGACTGGAATATGAACAGGGACCATACAGAAGCGTTTAGGAATGGAGAAGAAAATAACCAACAGCCTTCCTCCCCGAAAAATGTCTTTCATATTAAAAGACATTAATTGAAAGCATTTGGAGAAGAAATTATCTCCCTCAATCACACTTTAATTCAAGTGAAATATTTCTGAAATTAAAAGCTGTATGTTTATTTAATCGAGGCAATCTTATGTGAAGCAGCCAACATGCCTCACTGCAGAAATCTCCAGATCATCAGAGACAAGGGAAATCAACGAGAAACTGTTAAGTGAAGTGACATTTTTTTCCACAGAAACGTTATCTCGAGAAAATTCACTTCCTTATATCTTAAATTTAAAAAATCCCATCAATCACAGTAAAAGTGAACAATGATATCCACCTCATATTTGAGTATTAATTTTGACTGCTGTTGAAGTACCTGCTACATTCTTCTGATATTGCAATTTGAAAGGTTAAATTAGGTTTTGTAGGGTGGATAAGAATGACTATTTAGAAGTATATACAATTTTATAATACAATCCTTATGTTCTCCATATCTAGATTTTGATCAAAATTGTGCAGGCTTTCTTACATTACCAGTGACTACCTGTAATATGAAGAAAATTGATTTTTGTCCTCGCCATTGCTACAAGCAGTGGTATCTAATGACAATTAAAAGATAAGCTGTGTTTTTTAAAAATTTTTATGAGATTTCCTGTCTCATTTGCAAATTGGGGAGCATTGCTGTATTCAACTATTTTACAATCAAAACACACAGCTGTCCTCTACTTGTGTTTTCAAAAATTAGGAGACCAAATGAAAAACAAGAAGCACTTGCAGCCAGCCTATCTTTAACAATCTGCAGTGAAAAGAGAAAACTGATAGATATACTCTTTCCAAGCATTAAAAGATTAAAAATATTCCCTTTTTTGTCTTTTCCAAAGACTCACCGGTTGCCTCACTCGGCAGAGCCAATTCTTCCAAACCAGAGCCTTGAACTGGTGCACAGCATGCCCCATATCGTCTTTTCTTTCCTTCATCCACCCGCAGAATGGCTTTTTAAGGACTTTCTAACTGCAGAATCATCTCACCAAGCAGTATCAACGTATTACTCAGAAGCTGATTAATTCCAGCACTAGAGAATGGTGCAAGAGATTTGCCTGCTTGCTGAGAAGAGATGAGATTATATTTCTGCCTTTTGTTTTGCATTCGTTGAGGAATCTCATCTTTCCATTTGCTTCTCAGTGCAATGAACAGTAAGGGGACGGGTTTGTATAAATGCCTTCAGGGGGCTTTACTCCACAGTGTGTATTTTGCACTTGTTTCTCCTCTTCTGGAATAAAAAAAATGAATGCAAACTACAGGAAAAAAGAATATGTAACACACGTTTGTCTTTTCCCAGACTTTCAGTCAATGCAGTGTAAATGTCATTTACATGTATATGCAAAATTAAATTTTTGGAAGAAAAAATAATAGGAAGATATGTATGCTGTTTAACCACATAGCCCTATAAATGTCTATATGCTTCTAGAACACCCTTATAAGCACACATGTAGAACTATGGTGGTCCTATTGCATCTTCATATATGTATTTAATTTTATCTTATACGGTGTGTGTGTTTGACATCTCATTCTCCTTTTTCAGCATACATTACGTATGTAAAGGTGGAATATACCAACGAGTCAGAAAACTGTGTTAACTGATTGCCACATGCCACCCTGCTATTTCAGAGTATGTACAGTAATTTTGCTCACTAGGACCAAAGGCAAAATTTTGAGATAGCTGAGACAAAAATTCTGTGCACAGTTGATGTATGCATTTTTAAACAGATATTTGTCAATAACTGAATATTGTGAATATATGTAGGGCTTCACAAAGCCGTTTTGAAAAGAAGAATCTATAGCATGTGATTCGTAGGAAAAGATAAACTAATCAGTCAGCATAATGAATTACAAGCAGTTATTTTTCAAAGCAGCTGATACAAAAGGCAGTTCCTGACTAGTAAGTAAGCTAAAACAGCTCACATGAACCATTTGCTAAATTATTTTGAACAACCAATTCTGCAAAAACTCTGCTCATCCGAGTGTGTGACGTGAATAATTTATTATGCTCTATATAATTACGTACTCATAAATGCTGCACCTTTTTTTTTTAAAAATGCTAAATATCTTTTCATGGATACAGAAAAAGCTATCTTGTATGCAATTAGTATTCAGTACTAATGAATCTACTGCCTCCTCATTTTACTATATGACACTCAACAGATGAACACTGTTCACCAGTGAGTCCTGTTAACTTCATTTGCCCTCATACATCATTGGCCTTTCCTACAGAAATTCATTCTTGACTAGTAAGGTGTTCTTCATCCAGCAGGAGGCTTGTTTTTTCTAGAACAACGTTTATGAAAATAAAAGACACCTTATAAACATTCAGCCAAGAACAACCCCTGCAGTGGCATTCTGGGAAATAACTTCTAAAAGTAATTTTAGAAGAAATGGGATGCATGAGCTTGATTGTACTATTTGCAATGTTACAGAAATATGTGAAATAGTAAATAAAACCACCACCCACACACACCCCGCAACAAACTCTTGGCACAAAAGAGATGATAATATTAAAAATTAAGCACACAGGCAAGAGACGCAAATCAGTTCTGAATGTTTTTTGGAAAGACACGTCAGCTATATTGCTGCCATCCTGGAAGCTCTCTTGAGTGATCTAGGTTTCATCAGTACCATGTCAAGCAGTATTCTGTGCAAGTACCAGCCTTAAATAACAAGCCTAAGAAGGTTCAAATGCAGCACAGTAGCTAGTAGGCTAAATAACTATATACTTTCAGGACTCCATCACAGGGTGGCTGGAGTCAACAACATCATCTTGAATACTGCAGAGCAAATTAGGTCATTTGTTTCATTACATGTTTCGCTCGTTCCTTCTGGAGTGGAAAAAAAAATATGCTCAGAATTGTATTTCCAAGAGAGGACAGGATAGTGACCTGCCCTTTTCTGCTTCTGCTAAGCTTTAGCAGGCTTCATCTTAGTTGTAACTTCAAAGTTTAATCTTAGAATATGCAAGATTTCCCAAACCGCTGGGGCAGAAAAGGCAGAGAACCTTCTGCCAGCATCCATGTCCGGTTTAAAACTTGACTGCTTTATAAAGCGATACTATTAACACACCATGTCTGCCCTACAGTTTTAATCTCAGCTAATTAGAGAACACTCAGAGAAACAGTTTTATATGTTAAATAGGTTAAAGCCCAGGGGCCAAAAATACTTTTCGGTAGACAGGAATGCAGTCAAATCATGTGAGAATATGGCTGGGAATCTGGCAAACTAGCATATTTTCCTACCACCACCCACTATTTCCTTCACGAGGTTTACCGTGTGATCACAAGGCTGTCCTTTTAACATTACTAGGAATACTACTTGTAAATATTTACACAGCACAGACCTGTTTCGCCAGCAAAGCGCCTGCAGGATGGCATCAATTAGGAGCATCTTTCCTCGGAGACAACTCCGGCATGCCAAGTTAGGGTATGACAAAAAATGTTAGTTGTGGGCAAGGTCAAATAACTTATAATGATTAAATTATAATGATTAAAATGGAGCTACACATAAAACAAACAAAACAGACCCGATCTCACAAGGAGGGCGGTGGTTTGTTTGAGCTTCTGGGCAGCTCTATGGATTTCATTCTTGTAATACGACAGACTGATCGTAAACCGAACATTTCCTCACAGTCACAAACTCAGCGCCAACAAGAAGAATCTGGAATCAGGTTTCTGTGTCATGTAAAACCCGCTCTGTCTGTCTCTTTCTGCTGCTGCGTTTTGCTTGTAGGCTGAGCAAAAAGCATTGCCCCTGTCAGCATTACTCTTTCTTCCATTATTGTACTATAGAGTTTCAAATTTAATGTTGCTCTGTTCAGTGACCTCCTCTCTCTTCAGGCAGAAGACTTTCTTAACTGTAATTTAATTCATTCTCTGGAGTATAATAATAAATTGTAATTATTTTAGAAGAAGATGCATGTATTTAAGTGATCCAACTTAAAAACTGAAAACCTTTCAGGGAAAACAAACCTCAAATCTTGTAGCAAACCGTCATAGTAGTATCAAATCAGAAGAAGATGCATGTATTTAAGTGATCCAACTTAAAAACTGAAAACCTTTCAGGGAAAACAAACCTCAACATCTTGTAGCAAACCGTCATACTACTATCAAATCAAACAGCTGTTCTTTTTTGTAGTCAGTTGTTGCACGCAGATCCAATCCAAAAGCTCAGTTTGTTGCTCACAGTACTGAGTGCTGGATTCAAACCAAACTGGCTGCTGATGGGCAAATTTAAAAAATTCTTGCTTTAGTTTTTTTCACTTATCTTGTCAATTGAAAAGAAACACTTCTCTGATTCAACTGTATAAACACTTTATTTAGAAATATATTGAGATCCAGATCTGAGAAGAAAGTCCAGTTCTGTTACATAGTGCACTAAAAATCCTTTGCAAGGACTTAGGAAGAATTCTAAAAACATATATTGCATATTACATGCATAAATTTTCAAGAAATACTGAAATTACTGAAATATTTGCTTGGTTTTTAAAGGATGGATGAAAACGTTCACACTCTAAGCACTTCTGGCAATAGGTCAAATGTTCCTTTTCAGGATTTCTCATACTTTCCACTAAAAAAAATCCTTCTCTGAAGTGTATCAAGGTGCCAGAAATCAAAATCCACTCCTTTAAGTCACTAATCAAATTACTACACACTCTCAGTCTCTTGCAAATGTGAAATAAATACATTCTAGCTTATCTCCATCATGGTCTCAACCATTTCTTTGACAAAAACACAGGAACAGGCTGGAAGAACACCATGAATTGCAGAACACCGGTAAAAACCATCATTTTATCCCTTCATACTCTAATCCTATTTATATCTTCCGCCTTCTTTCTTCGTTTTTCTCTCTGGAGCAAAATGATTCTGCAGTGTATTGCTAGGCGTGCCAGGGGCAGAGAGAACAAAACTGGGCCTTTGTCTCAAAACTGCAACCTTTGGGGTTTGGCAGGATTTGTACATCTACCAGGAGACATTGCACTACGTAATACCAAGTATATATGTAACACCACGCATGCCTTCAAAAATATCCCCACTCATTCCAAATTTTGATTCATGTTCTGCAGCCTACAACTGCTGCCTTTCTATACGATACAAAAGTAACATGAATGGCTAATATTAAAACCTGCATGCAAAAGCCTGTTAAATATTTTTTAATTCTTTATGGATGTCTTCGTAAAATCTACAGGAAGGCAACTTCACTGCCGGATGCACACAGCTGAGTCACTCCTTTATCTCTCTGTCCACTTGCAGTCACAAGGGAAAATGCAATTGTTCTTATCAGGGTAACATTCTGTCAAGTTTCCTCTGCAGCTAAGAAAAGCATTTTCTTGCACGTAAAATATGTCTACAGAGCACCCTCTTGCATTGGGAATACAGCATTACAGGATGGTGACCAGTGAAAAAGGCAGGATACTTACCCTCCTTTAAACTCTAATTTTAAGTCGTCATACATCCCTTTACCCCACATATTAGGAAGAGCAGAAGAAAATATCTTAGCGGAAAGAGAAGTACAGTGTCCTGAGGAACAGCAGGAAGAAGAAAGGACAAACCGGCAAAAAGCAAATGGCTGAAGTCTTCCAGCGGTTTCTGTTAGGGTCTTGTGTATTCATTTAATAGAATAGTTGCATCACTCCATGAATACTTAAACCTCAGTTCCAACTCAGCGAGGCCACAATTCTAGTTATATTTTGGCACATAGCACATAAGAGCTTTCATATCAGTCATAAAAATGAAAGCATCTGCTTTATATGACTGTTAATACAAAAGCTTTGTAGTTTCAGTTGAGGAACTTTGTCTTTTTAACTAGTTTCCAGATTCTTGCTGTCCTTCCTTTGAAAAGACAAATCACACCATTTCAGATTTGTACCTTCAGGATAACTGCAATAACATGTTTCCCCAAAGCTTCACACAGGCACATAATGTATTTCTTTGGTTTTTTTTCAATAAAGGTGGGGTTTCTTTCCTAATTAGGTAATTCAGAGTAAGTATTTCTTTCACAACAGCAAACTTTCTCCCCCAAATCCACACTAGTCAGAGCTTAGCATAAACTTTTCTTCAGTCCAGAGTGCAGCACATTGCTTCCTAGGTCATTCCCTTTTTATCTCCTTGCTACTGCACTGGGAACAGTGCTTTGTTGCATGTTTCCCAGGGAAACTCATGGAGCTTCTCACAATGCCCAGGGAAGCAGCAGGCATAGTTTAGAACATTTTTTTAATACTTATTATTACTTTTTAAATAAAGACACAGTTCAAACTGTGGAAGCATTCCCACCTGACTCCCTCCCCTAAGTTTAGGGGAAAAAAAGGCTTTCTCTGAAAACTTACATTCATTGTACACATCAAGCATAAATAAGAAAGTGTGGGTTTAATACTAAAGGAAGACTAAATCAGTAAATTAAACCATTTTTAGACCCTATGTATTGCTACTGTATTTCCCAGTTGAAAAATCATCAAATTTAAGGAGATTAATCCTCATTAGCAATTTCCTATTCACAAGAGTCATCTCTTCCCTTTTTAATGCTCTCACCTCATTGCTTCCAGTTTATGCCACTTCTTGGTGAATGTGCCTGCTGCTACATCAGACCCTCTGAGATCTAACTGTCATGTGTGATGAGTGTTGCAGATAACAGTCCTCAAAAAATAAATCTCATTTAGCTGGATGAGAGACAATAGTCCTGAGAGTTTATTCAGACTCTTCCACCTGTGACTCCTCTTTTTCCACTGCAGTAGAAAAAGAGATAAATGCATTTTTCTTTAGTTGACCACACAGTTGGAGTATAATCACAGCAGCAAAGCAGCAAGGAGTAAGTTTTTTAAAAGAAACAAACACTAGGCCAATGGCCACTGCAGTAGAAAAAGCGATAAATGCATTTTTCTTTAGCTGACCACATAGTTACAGTATAACCACAACAGCAAAGCAGCAAGGAGTTCAGATTTTTAAAAGAAACAAACACTAGGCCAATGGCAGTGGAAAAACTGTAGAAATGGTTTTTAAGGCATGTACAGTTGACAGGTATTCTCCAGTTCTTCAGAAGAACTGGGAACCGTGCAACAGTAAGAGTTATGTCCTGAAGGCAGAGAGATGAAAAACAATTCAAAAAGAAACAAAGTAATAAGGAAAAAATGAACTACCATAATACAATCCTCTGAACATGTGCATCTTCTGAATGCCTTTGATTCTCTTCAGTAAGCAAGAGCCTCGATTCAGAAAAAAAAAAATAAATTCTTCAGTGAAAAAATATGTATTGCATAAATCTTACGTGGGTATTAATTCAATCATATAGTTAAAATGGGATATGAATGACCTTGTTGGATCAATATTTACGAAGTACAGATATTCAGCAGCTCAGTGTCAAGTCCTTAATGCTTACAAAATTCAGTCCCACACTTTGCAATTTCATGACATTTTAATATATGAAAATAGTATTGTTTGTCACAGTTTGCAAAAAATAAACTGCATTCACTTTAAGTTTTCTTTACAAGTGAAGCAACAAAGACAATTACAATTTATATCATTTTCTGTAACAACAAGAAAGAAAGAGATTAGCATTCTTAAGTTAATTTTAATTTGACAGTTTGCAAGTACTTGGCAGTACGGTTTCATCTTCTTCCTAGTCTTTCTTTTACACCAGGGATAAATAAAGCTTTTTCATACACTATAGCAGGCTTGTCCTTCAGAACAGATCCACTTTTCAGTTCACAGAAGAATGAGTCTTACATCTAGCAATGCCTAACTAAGCAAAACTTAAGTCCATTCAGCACATTCAGTTCCCAAAGCACAGGGACATAAATGATTAACTCTACAGACACACAGAACGCTGTAAGCTATTCTGAGGCAAAAGACCTCTAATGCACAGAAGCCGTGACTATGACTTCAGCTGTGCAAAAGCCTTCTGCTTCTACAGAACAAAGACAGATATTTCACACTTTCCCAAGGCTTTTCTTAATGAAATATCCCACCAACTTCTGTGGTCTCTGCTGGTATTCCACAAGCACATCATGTGAGCTACTAATCTGATCTCCTTCAAGCCGATTCAGAAGAGTGACACACACTACGGCAGCTGGAAGTTAAAAGACAGAACTAGTTAGGAATGGCATTCTGGCACTTCTACCATCCAAAATCATAAGTTTGAATGAACAGCTAGAAAATTAGAAGTACAAGAGAAAACAAATCCATAAAACAGTGTGCGGTAGCGTAAGGTGCTAGGGGACTAGCATGCTGTGGATGATATAAAAAAGTCACAGTTTAGTAATTGCTATAGTAATAAAGCAAGAGCTCTCAGACATCGGCAGATACTTACTGTTATATTATGATTCTTACGTTTTTTCTGACAGAAATTATATTTCATAAGTACCCAGGGCTTGACTGGTAGGAATCAATCAGAGACACTATTCCAGCAGATGTAGTTACAGCCCTCCCACATCCACATTATCCTTAACTCAAATCTCTGTGCTGAAATCCCATCCCTCGGCAGCCAGCAGAGAAGCTGCTTTCGACATGGGGAGCATAGCAAAGACATGAGGATCTCATGGATCATCTGCTGCCTTTTGGTAATCAGAGCCCCAAAGGTAAAATTCCTCCTTTCACTCAAGCTGAGCTTTGCCATCGCTCTTCTGGACCTGTGACAATGTGCAGAACACAAGCAGTAACGCACATCACAGACCTACAAGGCAGAGACAGCAAAAGACACCACGCTCAGTGACAGCATGGGTCAGGTTTTTCATCACTCTCAAGTCAATAATAAGTGAGGGCGTTTGATATAACTGGGAGTCTTTTCACTTGTTTTACTTAATTTAGTCCTCCTTGAGTTTAAGGAAGTTTGAGACACATAGATGTTTTAAACTGGTAGCTTCCTTGCAAAGCAAAATGTGAGACTTCAGTTAATATGGTGAGTAAAAAGTCACTGCATTACATTATTTCTAATTGTTGTGGATTTTTTCCCAATGTATACTGAAAACTAGTTAGCTTGTGTAAAAAAAGTAAAACTTGCTTTATGATTAGGAATGGTTTATTCAAGATGCTACTAAAAAGCTTTAATTGTTTAAGCATCGAAGCCACTAGTCTACACAAAAGAAATCCATTTTCAATTTCATATGAAAGTACAGGAAGTGATTAGTTTTATGTATATGAGAATCACCCAACTGATTAAATTAACTAGTTGCTTCCCGTAAACTTCAAAATCTATCTGAAGAAAACAGATTAGTATTGTACGGTAATTAGGTATTTTAATGTCTGATGTGCTTGCCATGAGCTGGAATACAAATAACAGGACTAAGCTTTAAAAGAACTATGTGAACTATGCACAAAACTTCCTACAGCCTGAATAAAGGGACTTTTAGTTTACCTTTGACACCGCTGAGATTACACATTGCAGCAAATACAGAAGACTCCATCTCTATGTTTCTGACACCAGAATCATAAGCTTCTTTCAAATATTGCAGTTTCTCTTCTTCGTTATATAGGCAGATTGCACCATCCAACCTGCCCTGTCCTACAAAGACATTTTGCACAAATTTTCAGTGAAGTCACGGAACAAATTCAATTTCTAAACCACATGATTATTGTAGTTTCCCCTATACAGTGTCCAGCTTTTACTACTGTGTGCAAGATAAGTAGGATAAAGGGATTCTTAGCTAGAGCTTCTACATGCTACTTGTATTTTTTGATAATCTGGTAATTTAATTGGTCTTCTCCAGCTTAAATTCTCAAATTCATAAATGGGAAAATGTAAGTAGTAGTTTCCTGCATGTGGGGCGCGTGTCAAAATTCAGCAGCACACTTGAAGCTGTATAGAAGTGCTGCAAGTTTTCTATGTTTAATCATTGTCTAGAAAAACTGCCAGGCTTAAAAATACCCTCCTAACGCTACCTTACATGGATAAATGTTTTCTTACTTACAGACTCTCTAAGGCAAGAGATGAAGAGTCTTTTAAGCTAACTAGGTAATACTACTACTATTTTTTGAGAAAATTATTCAAATTCCCCATGTGTTGCCTGATCTAGTTGAGAGGTGTCCCTGCCCATGACAGTGAGGTTGGATTAAATGATCTCTAAGGTCCCTTCCAGCCTGGGCTATTCTATGATTCTTTGATCATTCAAGACTAACACCAACAGACAAAATGGGGGCAGGTTACATACAGTAAATTTAAAATACACAGTGTTTTACTCAGTATCTTTTTGTTTTCAGGTGTATTCCTAATATAACACCATTGAGCCTGTTCTCAGTTTTTGCTGTAAGAATTGAAAACGTTCCTGGCCCTTTTTTTGAGTGTACTTTGCACCTGTGACTGGTGTCTGAGAAGATACAAAAACAGTGTCTGCTGCTGCCCAAGTCTGAGCACTATTAGGCAGATACATGTTCCCCTCTGCACTGCGCCCTTTGTCACCTATCCAATAACAGCTCAAGAAAACAGGACCAGGTGCCATCTACACTCTCTTCTCATAAGATCTGAATAGACTTGGGAGATCAGAAAAGCTCCTCAACGTCTATATGTTTATCCAAAGTAAGCCTTGGAGCTTGACACAACTCAGCAATATTGTCTTCAGTTGTCCAGTCACAGCTTTACTCAAAAGGTGCATAGGAAACAAGTTCCAATATTTACTTTAGAAAATATTTATTTCAAATAATTAACTAGTGGGGAAAAAAAGAAAAAAAAAATGAAACACCAAATAATTCTCACTCCTCTAATCCTCTAGGATGTCTCAGTAAATCATAGAAAATTCATGACAAACATGCCTAACCGATGAGTACATAAAAATTGTATAGTAGACTACATGTAGTACAGAGGATCGATTAGAGCTGAGGGGAAATAAACCTCCACAGAATTAAAAGTTTGATACAGCAAACTGGTAAGCACAATGCCTGATTTTATGTATATGAAAACTAGTTTAATCACGAGTGACAAGTCAAAGTAGGGAATGCGTTCTGTTCAGTGAACTGGCCCCTTAAAGTTAACATTTTATTCAATATTTATTTGTTGCTGCTTACCAAGATACTTCTGTTAGTCTGTTGCCAGCCTTACCTTCATAGAAATCCAAAGTGCACATAGTGTTTCCAATGACTGTATTGAACTGATTGATTTCTTTACTGCACTGCATCAGTTCCTGAGCTAGCTGTTCATCTAGGTTTGTACTGCGAACTACTGTCTTTCCCAGAACAACCTGTTCAAACTGAGGTTTGAAGGTGGCATCTACAGACTGCCTAGTTATAACCACTGAGCCTGGCTCCAGACCTGCAATAAAAAAAAAATAGGTACAGCTTCACAATGTAGTTAATGTTTTGTTTCCACACACATAAAGCATACAATTTGGCTTCTTTTAAAGCTGTTAATTTTACCCTTGAATCTATCAGAAGAATTTTTTCATGCATGCCCAGCTGCTTCAGTTTATTATTACGAATAATTTCTGAAAGAACAGATTTTTTCCTTTTGTACTACATATTCTTTCTTATCTCAAGACTTCTCATAGAGAATAAGAATGTCCTCTTCATTTTGTCACATCTCCCCAAGTGCATTTTCTCCATTCCAAGGCAGAAACTGCCTTTTCTTTCAAACTTACGGAAGCAAAACAGTTCATGTCTTGCAGAACACTGTTCTGACCATCAATCACTAACTTGCAGTGAGATGCTTTACTCTCCTATCCAAATGGTTTAGTTCGAAAAAAAAAAGAAATCAAGAGGGGAAATACCTATTCCACCAGAGGTGCCAATGCGAATAATGGTTATGTTGGAACACTTGGCATGATACAACAGTTTGATCAGCTCATGCAGCATGATTGAAATAGAAGGAATGCCCATACCGTGCTGAAATGAAAGCAGAAATTCATATTCAACATTCACACAGATGATACAAAATATTCACGGAAGAAGGAACTGGACAGTATCTCCTTCCTGATATTTTTTTCACCTAACTCACTCCCATAAAAACCCTAACCTATGACCCTAAGGAAAGGCCGCTGCAGGTAAACAGAAAGACTCCTACTGTCTTTGGTAGACTTTTCATGAAGTAAAATATTTCTAAATATCATGAATTATAAAATATTTACATTCTCAAAAGTATAAGCAGCGTTCTTTCTTAAGAGTTAACAAATGCACTTCATCACAGAACTTTTCCTAAACAAAAAAAACAGCTCTGATTTTTTACCATCTTGACGTGCTAGTGAACAGGTAAGCTAATTTTTTGCAAAACACAGGCATTGTGGCTCAGTCACAAAGTTCAGCAAATATAAGTTCGCCTCAACATGCATGATAATGCAATAATTACAACTCAAAAGGTTGTAGAATGATACTACAGTTATACGATTGCAATTGAAGTATGTAATCGTATCTACAAATTAAACGTATGAAGTTTTAAAATGAATACATGGGTTGGCAGCACAAGTCCCACGAAAAGCTATTCTCAAGCGATGTCAGCACATTTGACAATGCCACTGCAGGTACTTAGCTCTAGATGCAATATAGCCATTTTTTCCAGTGCCCCACATGCACTGAGGGACCTTTTTTCTCCATGAGCAAGTCTGCTCAAAAAATTTATAAGGCCACTTCTGCAACACCTCAGTGGTATACTGAGGAAAAAAGGAGGCAAGAAAGGAATTAAGGTCTCAGAGATTCACCCTCTTACAAGAAAGGGCTGAAAAGGAATTCTTAATTAGCTGACTGCTCTATTTTGAGCATGGCTGATACAAACTTACAAACCTGACTGATATTTTAAAGAAATGCACATTCGTATTTTCTGCTTTGAATATCATCATTGAACTGTGTCCCACATCTGGTCAAGCGAGGTACTTACACTGACAGACAAAATGGGTCCCACTTTGTACATTGCGTAACGGTCAGTTCCCGCACAGATATTAGGATAGTCACACCCAGGGCTCCCAAGCCCCAGTTCTTCAGCTATGTAGGCAATAAAGGCTTTCATCCGTGAAGGACTTCCTCCAACACATACAAACTGGGGTGGACAGTATTCAGCAAAACAACATCAGTTTCATGATTCAGGGTATAAAAGAACATGCAAAGATCAACATGAGGATACAAACACCTTCAGTTAACACAAAGCTATTCCCACATGTGACTCTTCTCATAAGCAGTCTAAAAGGCCGTGAAGAAAAATTATGGGCGGACAAAAAGAAAAAAAACATAGTACTCAAATGCCGTCACGTTGTTTGAACCAGTAGAAGTCAGATACTGGCTTGAAGGCCCCTCAGTGGAAATTCTACCTGAATAGAGACTGCAGTATTTTTACTGGACAAAAAGAGACAGTCAGGAACAACTATCCCCAGTTTTGTGGATATTGACAGTGACAAGAACACACAAAATCTTATGACCCTCCCATTTACTCCTGAATTAGTGTTATGCTGACAGATTTAGTCATGTTTTGAAGACAGCTACACTTCCACTTTCTGCAGAAAAGCTTAAGCTTGCTGAATGAAATGAAGCATCTTACCTTTACATCTCCAAACAATGATGGAAAATCATGGGTACCAGTCCCAAGAGCAAAATGGTATAGGATGTCTTCTTTCATTTTCTCCAGGTGAGGGTTGCAGAGATGGATAAAATTCTCTCTGTCAGGACAGCAGCATTGTGAAACGTACAAAGCATATACAAGCCACTGCACTGAACAAGACCTAATTTTGCCAAGTCAAGCATTAAAAGTTGGGAAATGCCACACCTAAATGTGCCTGCACTACCTTATTTCGGTTCTTCATGCATTATGTTAAGGAAAGATGAGATTTCATGACCACCTCATTTCTCGTAATAAACCTCATATGCTATTTAACACCTATTCATTGTACAGGATTAAACCGCTGAAGAAAAGCCCACATGGTAGGTTGCGTATGCAACAAGGCAACCTTGGTCTTAAACAGTATTAAAGCTGTGAACCATGGTGGCTCTTTATGGTGAACAGGAAATGGGAGCTGGACCAAGGAATATTCAATAGACCACCTCACTACATAGACCATCTAAAGTGAGGCTGAAAAGCAAACTTGATCACTTGAGACAGCTGAGAAGATTTGGACTTTACAGACAGGCCCAACAGGGATTTCTGGCAATTTGGCTCACAGGAACTGTGTCATCTAGCCAGGAGGAAAAACTTTATAGCTTGAGACTGGTAACAAGAGTACTGAGGATCTGAATCATAGAATAGCAGGTTAGAAGAGGCCTCGAGGATCACCTCATCCAATCCTTCTTGACAAAAGCACAGTTTAGATGAGATGGCCCAGCATCCTGTCCAGCCGAATCTTAAAGTGTCCAATGTAGAGAAATCCACCACTTCCCTAGAGAAAATGTTCTCAGACTTTTCCTCTTGTGTCCAGTCAGAATTCTCCCCAGGATTAATTTGTACCCATTATGCCTCGTCTTTTCCATGTGACTCCTTGTAAAAAGGGAGTCTCCATCTTCTTTGTAGCCACTCTTTAAATACTGAAACATGATCTTATCACCTAAAGACCTAAGCCTTCTTTTCTCAAGACTGGACAAACTCAACATCCCATCGGCCTTCTTTGCCACTGCAGCACCACACTGTTCTCTCTTACTGAGTTTATTGTCCACCAGGACCCCCAGGTCCCTTCCACAGAGCTACTTCCCAGCGTGCGGACAGATCCCAGCCTGTGCTGCACTCCTGGATTATGTTTTCAATTACAAAATAGGAAAGAGGCAAACGGAAATCTGAAGCAAAGAGAAAACAATGAAAGAGGAAAAAAGAAAAAAGGAAGAAAAAGGGATTAGAGAGAGGAGAGTTAAAAAGAATTTACTTTCTTTGAAGTTGCTTCCTGTAAGGACGTTATACAAGCTTAAAAAAATTATAAATCTTTCTGAATGACCAGGAAATTACAAGGCAAACACAAAAAAGTGAACTACTTAGCATGTGGAATCACCTTCATGGAAATTGAGTAGGGGACTAAGTAAGTAAGCTGAATAATTCATAAGACGTCTGCCTGCTGTGCTTGATGTTTTAAGTTCAATTCAAACAGGTAGGAAAGACTACTCAATAATCACAAGCTTAAGCAAAATACTGGACAGTACTTCAAAGCAGTTACTGAGACATGAAATGAAGCAACAAATAGCTTCCAGATACAAGAAGATGACTTAATAGCTTAATGAAGGCTCACTGCAGTCACAGCATGGCTCAGCAAATTCAAACTGCTTTGTCAGAGGAGACAAACAAGAGAGTTTGACTGGAGTTTATGCAAAGTATTAAGACTTTGCAGGAACAAATCTAAAGCCTAAACATTGGTGTTAAGCACTTTTAGATGACTTAAGTTATCCTGTCTGTCTTCCAACACCACTCCAGAAAAACAGTACTTTTCTGTAGGGGCTGTGTCTTACCTTTCAATCCTGTGCAGGATGTATTGCTTACCTTAAGGAGCCTTAAATGGCCTTAAGCCCATACCGAGGTCACGGAGCTGTTCCTCAGACAAAAAGTAACTACAACCTTAATATTATGGGTATAACAACTGTTTCTGTTCTTGAAATTCTCTCTCCAATGTCACTAACTATCCAGAAGCAGCTGCACAACCAAAGAAAAGTGGTATCAGCCCAGTCCACCCTGATTTTCCCTGCTCACCACCGACTACCACCTTCAGCAACTGAAACAGCTGCCCGACAAAGCAGGTCACTCCTTCACCTCTTGAGCAGTAATTTCTTTCCTTGTCCTACGTGCCTCCTTTGCCTCTATACAAATGCCACTTCAGGTGGGACCAAAGGCTTTGGCTGCTTTTGTTCTTCCCTCTGAGAGACCGGTTTGACTCCAGAAGAAATAAAGAGCAGGTTTATGGCTCTCTAGAATGGCACAGAAAGCCCAGGATTTCGTCAGTTCACGTGAGCAGATTTCCAGGCTGCCTCCTCTGAATGACTCCTGTTTGGTTTGGTGGGACTCCATACCCACATTTAATGGGTCTCTCACTAATGCAGATCAAATGAAGATGCTTATTGGAATGGCTTTTACATACAAACAGGATATGATTTGAAATCACTTTACTATTTGTTGTCAGGCAAGCAAAAAGTATTTCCTTCATTATGAGCAATAAAAGCTTCTCTCCAGGAAATAAATTGGGAAAAGGTGGGGCCTCTTTTAAAAGTACACAGCAATTCAATGTGTTATGTGCCAACACCATTTGTCCTCGTGCCTGGCCTCAACATAGCTTCCTTCCTCAGAAGTGCTTGTATTTCACCTCTTTCATCTCACACCTTACCGGCAACACTTTTCAACCCACCACCTCCTTGCAGCTGGGGGCTGTTGCTAACTCATACCGGTTATTTGCCCATCCAGATCTAATTGCAGACTTGGACCCTGGGGTAAAATGGGCAATAAAAGTAAGCATATTCTATGTGTACCTAGGACCAATGCCACAGATTTACAGTAGAGGCAAAGTTTGCTTGATAAAAATCTTTGGCCTGTAACTCTAAGGAGCAGACAATTTATTCCTCATGCTGTTGGAAAGCACCTACATCTTCTGGGGGTTTACACAAAACATGAATATCTGAGGACTAAACATGCACGTATGATTTTACTAAAATAAGCTTAATGCTAGGATAGAGAAACAGACTGAAGTATTTTTTTAAACTCTTGAAGCAGGTAGCTCTGGCCATATGCAGGAAACAAAGTCAACATTTCAACAGCTCACTGGATTAAAAATAAATAAAAACATTACCTACGTTTGTAAAAATTCACTGCTGTGATAAATTAAAATGGCTAGGGAGCAAAGCCCTCTGTGTAGGCGTGGTTAAAGCAGATAAAGACTCCGCTTGTCAAAACAGTTTCTACTAGAGACTGGATGTTATAATCAATATTTGTATCATAAAAGTTATCTTAAACTAAGTGAGTGTGTAATGAGTTTGGGGAGGAAAGTAAGTGTAAACTTGGACAAGATAATTCATTTCTGAATCTTACTTTGAAGCCTGCTCATCATCAGTTTTCTTCTCATTTGAGACCCCAGGAGCCATGTATGCTTACACCTAGAATTATATTAAAAAAAAACAGATAGGTGCATCAGAAAAGTCCAATCTGTAAAGCCATCATCATTAACAGTGAATCTTCTGTAGAGATTATACTATCATGAACATTGAACCCCCCATATAATCCAGCCAGACTACAGTTTTTATAACCGCAGCAAGACTAGCATCTCCAATTTTTTATTGGCCAAGCATCACTACTTTCAAATCAATGAAACCTAAACTACTCCCTTGCTAACATAATCCCTACCTCATCACTACTGTTCTGTGCTATAAGCAACGCCTGGCTCACAGGCCAGAGAGCGGCAAGTCTCACAGCTAACTAACCAGCCCCCCTTCTTTTGTACCCCCCATGTCAACAGTGACTGCTGGACTAGCTTTAGTCCCCTTTCCCCTCTGGCTCAAGAAGGTCTCCAGAGTTCATCTCTAACTGTCATATTCCTGAAACACGAGTCCAGGAAGCATCTTACTCATAATATCCTCTTCACTGAACTCCTCCTACTGACCTTAAGAGCATTTCTATCCGCCCCAGCCGAAGGGTGAGGCAGGCTCAACCAAAACATGACTCTGAAAAGTCTTTTGGTATACGTACAAACTATACCAAAAATGTCCTTTCTGCATTCTCCTTTTCATCTAAATAGACAAATATCTCACTGAGGCTTTGGTTGTGATACGATGACAGAATTATAATTACAGAATGATTCACTTATTATTTTCAGAAGTGACTAAGGCTAAGTGCCAAAGTTGGTACTTTCTCGGAATGCCCTCATGGGAAGTATTGAATCACTAAGTTTTGCTCTACTTCCCCTTACAAAGGGCCTGACAGCACTTATAATATTATTGTTGTGATCCTTAAAAACCCCAGGATTACACTGCAAGGAAACAGAATGAAATCAATCTTGCAATAGAATTACGTAACACATGAATTTTGAAAGAACTTCCAGTTTATCAGAACAAATGAAATAAACCTTAAGTCTGCTTGTTAAAGCCACCGGTTAATGGAAAGGTATTAAAATATATAACGACAATTAGTTTTCTTTATTTAAAATACTAACCTTTAGTAAACAGATCTCAACTTCACATATACTAGACACACTAAATGTATAATAAAGTCTATGCTCAAAGAGCTAAAGCATAGAAATTGCATTTAGAATCAATTATGCATCCTTATGGTCATATGATTAGAACCAGCTACTGCAGCAGGGTATCACTATTATACCATGTACATTACAGGAAAAACGCACAATTTGTTCCAAGAAAACTACAGCGCCCTAAGTCCTGATAAGAAACAGCAAAGTGATTTTTTATGTACAAATGGCTGCAAATAAAGCGAGGGTATTCATTTAGCTGCTGTTCATTAAGACACCACATGATTTCTAAGAGTGTTCTGGGTTCTGTGATCCATGAAGTAATGATGTACTTCAAAAAACTGAGAACAAAGTTCTGGCGGTCCAAAGGTCCAGAATACCCTCTCCCATCGGAGATGTCTGAGCAGGAATAAAGGAGCAAGCAGAAAGTAGTCTTCCCAGCAGAACCTTCCGGCAATCAGGTAGTAGCTGACAGGTGGCCGATTAATATAAAGCCACAAAATCCTCACACTGACTAAACAAACGGAAAGTTTTACAGCCACGTCACAAGTTTCAGTAGTCTTTCTCAGCCAAAGGCAAAGCTGATGTTCAAGAATAACACGCACCTAGCAAGACTCAGCTCAAGAAAAGGCACAACCTGCTTTGACGTGTGTGTGAATCCTCTGACCGATGTCCTAAAACCACGCAGAATCCATTAGAAGTACTCTTTCTTTTTTCTCCCCCTCCTCCTGTTTTTTTTAAGGGAAAAACTCAGCTGACGGTATCTTTAAGGAAAAGCTGTAGTTTGCTGTTGATCCATCACTAGAAAAACTGAAGCCGTTTGCAAAACTGATATTCATTCTGCCGCTTCCCTTTCTTCCACCCCGTGCAAACAGCGACCGCGCACCCGCGACGCACATCCCTTCCCGATGCCGTCCTCGCCCACCCCCCTCGCTCCGCCGGCGGAGCAATCTCCCGACACCTCCGGCCGAGCTCAGCTCCGACACATTCATACCACCGGACCCCTGTGCCCGCCGCTGTCCC